GTATCTCTACTCATTAATAGAATGAACATTCTATTTTTATTGCTGTCCATCGCCGATTAGATTTCAGCTGAGAATAACTGTGCATGTACAAAAGGGTGTTACTGTACCGTCAGTCCGATTTGTATAGGCACCGTGTTATGTGCTTATAACTCTTTCATGACAAATCCCAATCATGTTTCTGTTTTGCAAAAGTTATTTGTCCAACTTCTTATATTGCATTCAATTACTTTGTCTCAATAGCTTTATCAGACCGCCTCCGTGGTCGAGGGGTTAGAGTCGATGACTTCTAATCTAGGTACCTCTCTGGCGTGGGTTCGATCCACGGGAGATGCTTTGGTAGTTTAGCGCGGAGGAAGGTAGTCTAGTACTGGTGTAACTCTCCAGGAACGATGGTTAGGAAACTACCCGGCTATATGACTGAAATACTGTTGGAAAAAGGCGTAAAATGAAACAAACAAACAATAGCTCGCCGTGTGGTTATCAAAAGAAGGGAGATAAGTCAAGACCAAGCAAGAAATAATTTTATCCGAGTTCTTTCCCTTTAAGCAAATACGGCGCGTTACGAAATATTAGGAAGTCGAAAACAATAATTCCTTACTCTGCGTCATTTAAAAATAAATAATTGAAATAGATTTATTTGAATGATCGCAGTTTGTAAAGGACGCAAGTGCCGGAAGTCAGACGTGTACCAATTGCTCTAAACTTTATAAAGTTACATACATGTATACATGTGTACCTGCTTTTCGGACATAAAAATCACAAGCACGAGTATCGGACCTGGAAATAAAAAATATAACCAGATTGATAAAAAACAACATATATTCATCCTAAATGTGTCAAAAATGAAAAAAAAAGTGAAATGTGAGCCTACGAGCAATGGGTTCATTTCCCGGGCTGTTGTAAAAACAATTTTCCCGACTATTAAAACACTTGGGGCCGGTCTCATTTGGAAGCTTGATAAAAAAGTTTTTTTTTAAGTGATTGGACAATTGTATTCACAACGGCCCGGAAAATGAACCTCTTGCTCGTAGGCTCGAATCTGGAGTTTCCGTATAGTATATTTTTAGGGGGTCATATTTCACTTTTTTGTGTTTTTGACGCATTTAAGATGAACACAGGTTTTTTTTTATCAATCTGGTACCAGGTCCGATACTCGTGCCTGTGATATAAATTACATGTCAATGACACATTAAGAATTCCACCAAATAATAACGCTGGAAATTATATTCTTGAAGAATCGGGCTGTTAATTCCCAGAGTTTTATTATTGTTATACATTTTACTTTATATGACTGTGACATTAAAAATGTGCAGCTTACTGTACTTCAATTTCTGAACATGAGCCGTGTCACGAAAAAAACAAATGTAATGGGTTTGCGACCAGCATGGATCCAGACCAGCCTGCGCATCCGCGCAGTCTGATTAAGATCCATGCTGTTCGCTTACAAACCCTATAACAAGTAGAGAAACTGATAGCGAACAGCATGGATCCTGATCAGGCGCAGGCTGGTCTGAATCCATGCTGGTCGCAAACACACTATGTTGGTTTTGTCGTGACACGGCTCAAATGTATTATAGCAAACAATCGTTTCTGAGCAATTATTCAACCTTTGACGATTTCACTTCCGTCGCAAGTGCAATTCCTTATATGTACAATAAAATGGGTATGCGAGCAAACAAGCTTCCGGGCTGACATTTATATAACTTGTTATTTTTATGTAAACGGTCACCATGGTTATTCTTAAAGTGTTAATTGTATACAGGCTGTTCGATAATTACTTTTCCCTTTTCCATACGTATGTACAGTTAAAATGTCTACGATTTTTAATGTGAAGAAAAAAAGATTCCATGCACGGGTCTCGTCTATCCCCCACCAACAGTTACACTAAGAACAACATAAGGCAAGTAATTGAATAACTAATTTAAATAAATACAAAAAACATGGCGTCTAATCTTCCAAGACTAATCATCATATACGAGTATAAACATTGTTCAACATTTTCTAAATCCTAGTATCCATGTGTCCTGGTTGTGTGTTATGTGACATCTTTAACTTTACAAGTTGCACGTGAACACCCTTGAAACAGTTGCTGAAAAAAGTATAAACATTTGAGACATTGAACCTTAGTCTGTTGGGGGCTACAGAACCTACCCATTCGATCGCCAATGCAGATCAAGTCCGTGTCGTCTGGGCATGACCTGCATCGTTCACTATTCAGTGTGTATACATACTTTGAAAGTTTCCATGAAATGGTGGATATTCTTATTCAGATTAAAAGATGGACTAGGATATTAAAATATTAAGCGTGGTATAGAGTTGAATCAAGATAATAAATACGGTCTGAAGACACATATGGAACCAACATGTCCGAGTTGTCATTTACTTCGTCGTCCTATCCACATCTGTCCACAGTGGCAGTCCACCATTGTGGATGAGACTTTGAATTCTTCTATGTGAGACAGGTACCCAGTCGGTACTGAGAATGACAGAAATTTGACTTAGATGTGTACGCGCGTTGTAATACACACACACATGTATCCCTTTGCAAAAACATAGCATGGAAGCTAGAACCGCTTGGGGTGTTTGTTTGGGGAGATGAAGCGAAAATTTATGCATGTATTAACAATGAACAAAGCAGAAACGGGAGAGCATTTTAATAAGATCGAATCACGCAATGTGTCGTGATATTGTGATATATCACATGCATTGTGGTGATAAACAACCGTCTAAATGTTATTTATAATAAAGTATAGATTTTAATATATCTTTTTATTTTCTACTATAAAAAAGAGATCATTTTTGACTGCAAATGAAGCTCTTCTAAAAACTATAGAATTATTGCTTGCATCCTTTAAGGCTCATTTTGCCTTAGAAATGGTATCATTTTTATTTCTTACAAACTGTTTGTTTTTTTATATGATGCTACAGTTAAAAAAATATACTCATTTGCTATATAAATGAACCCTCTTTTGCATCTTTTGTTCTGTTTGCCATTGGTATAATAATTTAATAACATAATTTTAGTGAATTAGTATTTTGTATGGAAGTCAAAATACTTCTTTGGCGCTTCTTTTTTTAGTTGTAAACATCTAACATGCACTTAAAACATTATTAAATACATGTTTGGCATTGTTATTAGAGCTGAGTAATATTTTTTGAAGTTTTAAGCTTAAACAGGGTCTTTCAAATATTCAAAATACTATGTTAACCCATTACGTTATATACACGCCTTTTTCACCCCCCCCCCCCTTTTGTTGTCTCAAATGGTGAAAAAATGCCTTATTTAGGCCCCCAACACTTGTTTTTGTTTGAGAAATGTTGTTAAAAAATGACCTCTTTTTCGGCGCGGCCCCCCAACCAAAAGATACATCAGGGGGTTGCCAGAAGGGGATGTGCCCCCTTCTGTTTGGGGGGGGGGTTTGAAGGGGCTCATCGCCTAGAAAATTTTGGACTTGTGAGAGGCTATAAATGACCCCAGATTGATCATAAGGTAACGTGTAAGCAACGCTGAAAAGCATTTGACTCTATCTCAATCCATTGAGAAGTTGCAGCACTGTGAAATAAATTTTGATGGAAAAAATCAACGCAAAATAGTGATTTTTGGCAATTTTTTAGATGTCCCCTCGTTGCCATGGTAACAGAAAATTTATGCCTGAGCACGTTGTTGCAAGGGCAATGGTCCAGTCAACATTTGTGTCAAGTTTGATTAGTGTTGAAGCAGTTTTTATAGTATTATAGCAATTTGAACTTGTAACGGGAGACTTTTCAATGAAAACAGCCATTTTTCACAAAATGCTCATGAAGTAATGGGTTAAAGACCCCAAGTCACCAAGTATGCATTAGGTCTGGGAAAATACATATATATTGTATAGTGCTAGGCTTTAAAATATTCAGATTTTTATATTCAGAAACTTGTAAGTTCAATATTTTGTTAATTGAAATACCATATTTTTAATTACGTATTTTAATGAGAAATGGTTTACAAATAAATTATTATTTTTTTACGTTTTTATGAGATTTCCGAAATTTACTAAATACGGCTGAAATTCAATGGACGTCGTGGTCGGGGATTTATAATTATTATGTAATGTATCAACTTGATAGTTTCTTTTTTATATTTTCGGAACTCTTTTATTCATACCTTTTATAATAGGCGTATCTAGAGTTTTTAGTTAGTGTAACTGTTTTTTTTTCCTAAACATTTTCGGTTTCGACTCAAAATAAATAGAGCAACGGTAAGATACGGAAATATAATTCCGAAAATTAGTCCTGAATATCAGAATTTAATTTGATTCCTTAAAAGATATTATTGATATTACTATTACACACTTGACACAATGTCCCAAAAATTAAAGTTTCATATTTTCATTCATAAATCTACCTTTTAACCTTGTAGTATTTTGTTTACTACAAATTCATCGTAACTTGTTGTGCGCATGCGAGAATACGTCACTTATTGGCAAACTGTCCAATGAGAAAAATTTATGTAAATATCGTACAAGCGTCATGACAACATTACCTTATATGGGACACCACGTGGCCTAAGAAGGCCGTTACGAATGACGAGAATGAAGTAATGTTACTATTAATAGTAACAGTGACTAATGCCGGCGAATAAGTCACTTTGTATAAATGTATTGTAGGTATATTCCTGATTCAAAATCAAGTGACTCACCGAAGAGAAGTGATTCCCTAAATAATAAAAAAACACGGGTATAAGACTGTTAAACTTGATAGAGAAACATTAGTTTAAAGTACTAAAAGGAATATTTTTTTGATAAAATGTATACGGAAATGGAAGGCGAATCAAAATATCACGTGGCGAATATACTGTCAAATTTGTCTAATGGCGGACACGCAAGCGTACAAGTGAATACAGTAAGATATTTTGCATTTATAGATCATTCATTCGTTTGTAAAAACTATCATTTAGCTTACTTTATGTTTCTGTTTAAATAACGCTATTTTAAAACAATATTAAGCAGTTACCGACTAATTTGACGCATTTTAATTGCTTCCGACGATTTCTTTGTTCTGGACGTCGGTGTTTCTTTTGATGTTTGGCGGTAATAAAAATCTACGGTAATTGTTGTTTACATGAAAGTGGGTCAGTTAAGTGTATCTGCTTGAGTAGGCAGGCGGGATGACATCACCCCTTCATGTATATAGCTTGACTAAGTACCGGGACATGTAAATTTAAGCTCATTTCTTTTGCATGTTCTCAACCGATAAGCATTGTGTTCACACTTAACTGAAATAAAATAATTAATATAAATTATAGTTTAGAATTATTCTATGGGATATTAAAATAAAATAAATTAGTTAACATGATGTGGAATTATTCTTGCAGGGTATTTACATTTCTACACATTGACTTATAATTATATTAATGAATATACTAGATCTATATATATTTTTTTAATTATTTAGTGTTCTTCATAATTTTAATTTGCTACAAAACTTAATTTATATTATCATTAATGTGTCAACAAAACAGTTAAACTATTAAATTTATTTAAAAGGGGTTACCTGTTAAATAAGATTAAAAAGAAAATAAAAATCTTTTCAAGAGTTGTAATAAACTTTTTTTCCTTCTCTATTTCCAGTATGCAACCCCAGCATTTTCAAGTGGTATTACATCAAGCAGCACCTCTACGCTCACGCCAACAACCCTGAGCAACCTGGAACAGACATTCATTGAGTTGCAGTCCGTGCCAAGCCGCACTATGCAGAATCCCATTACTCAAAGTGGTTTTGTGCCACCAATCGTTCACTCGGCTCTTCAGTCAGATAATGATATCTATAGCGACAGTAGCAGCAACATGAGTGCCGATGACTACTTGCCTTCAGCACCCAAGAAAGTTAAAATCGGGGATAAAACAACTACCATCATGTCCAAATATGAAATTGAAAATCCTCAGAGAAAGACGCACAGACGGCAAATAAGAGAGGATGAAGTAAGTTGAGACACAATTGAATACATTTACATTTTTATTGAAAAAAATATTTCGCAAAGAAATGAAAAAAGTACCTATTTGAAAACTAGCTCTAATCTCTTAAGTAAGATTTGAGTAACAAAGTTTAAGTTCAAAAAAAATATTTTTTGAAACTTAAACTATAAATATCATTGAATGCAGTAAGAAATTAGGATGTTTTAAATGAATTAAGCCTGCAAGTAATAAATTGCATTTCTAATACCTGTTAAACCACAAATATCTGTGTATTTTGAATTCCTGGCATATTTTGTGATGTGGTCACTGATTAATCAATCAGGTATGTCATCTAAATGATTGACATTTGCAATCAAATATTCATAATATAGTTTGCAAGCCGGATCGCAGTAACCAAAATGATTTTCAATTGATCCATTTTATACTTCAAAGCAGTTTACTGTTATTTTGTAACAGTTTTAATATTTAGTTTTAAAAAAAGGCTGACATTTTCCAATAACGTAGAACTATATTGTCAACGAAAGCATTTTTACCTGGATGAGTCACTTTATACATTGCGGTTAAAATTGCCAGGGTTTAAAATAATTTGTCCTCTACCTTGCGTATAACTTGTTTGTAAAGCATGATGTAATGTTACTATTAATAGACTTATCCAGGTATAAAGATTTACAGTGTATACACACTGTTGAGCACAAGGTTTAAAGTATATCGATTCATAAACAAATCTACATGGTTATTGTAAAATACATTTTAGCTTATTTTTCCGCTGTAATATTCTTGCTGTTTAAAACATTTGTAGGAAAGTTTAAAAAAATTTAGAATTAATATTGCTTTTGATGTGCATTTTTGAAATTCTGCATAGCAAAGTATTAAGTTTCTTGTTTCTTGTTTTACAGATTTCACCCGAGGAGGCACAGCGCAGGAACCTCCGACGTGAACGAAACAAAGTTGCCGCAGCGAAATGTCGTCAGCGAAGGGTTGATCACACAAACAGGCTATTGAACGTAAGTGTTGATACTTGACAACAAAGTACTTGACCCCTTGGTCACATGAAGGTTTAACTTTAAGATGCAAGAGATAACAAGAAGCTGAGGCTTGTTTGAACAAGTTATCTATACATAACCTATATACATGTATATATAATATTTATACACATTTAATCATAATCAGTTGTATTAAGTAAGCAGATAATGAATCAAACATATATAATATTTTTTGTTTCTTTTCAAATTTTTTTTGCGACTTGTTGATTTTTATATTTGGTATAGAAAAAATGGTCTCATATCATACTGGTAAAATATTATTTCCTATGAATTCAATAAATAATTATTGTTTTTCCTTATATATAGGAAACAGACAAGTTAGAGGAAGAAGGTCGAGCAATCGAGCAGGAAATTCAGTCTCTGCAGCAGGAGAAAGATCAACTTGAGTTCATTCTTCAGGCCCACAATCCCATCTGCAAAGTAAACGGTAGTCGCCAACATTCTTCTATTAAAATCAAGCACGAGCCTGAACGTGATCAACCGCAAAACTTAACTGTGCCAATGTCTAGTGAAGCAAAGAAAGAAGTTCCGGCTTTCTCTTCGAGACCGTCAAGTCTGTCACTCTTAAATCGTGATGTGAAGAACGAACTTGTCTCTGCTGGCGTTTCAATAACCACGCCTTCAAGTGGGTTTTACAGTATAACCCTAGACACTATGGTAGATCATACTGGGTTAACTCCCTTGACAGGAAGTTTAGGACATACAGGACTTACCCCATTAACAAGCATGCCTCAGTCTTGTAGTAGTGAGGTATCGAAAAAACAATCAACATCGAGTGAAAGTTCCGACGGTATGAAATCGCCATCAAATCTCATTACTTTGTAGAATTTGCTTATTGCTTAACATATTATCAAATTCATTGTATATTCTCTGATGCCTTTCATTAATGAATAACTGCTTAATTTTAATTTTTTGAATATTGTTGTGGGTATTGTTTTGTTCAATTTCAACAAAATTCATAATTAAGAAACTTGTTATTGTAATTATAGGGTCACTGCCATAAAAGTATCACTGTAAAAAATGACAATTAAAACAAAACTCATCTTACATAAGTAAAATGTATCTGAAGTATCAAAGATCTGATTACATTGGCATTTTTTCTGCTCTTTTGTCATTCAAATGTAAGGAGTAGGTATATATACATTTTGTAAATATATATTTATGCATTCATAGCATATTCATGAGCCATTACATATGAATGACTCCATTCAAATAAGGCTTTGTTATATTATTTTTTTCATGCTTTGTTTATAATTTTGCTGCTGGTCAGTCCATTTGTTTTATTTTGTTCCGATTTTGTTGTATTCAAAATTAGTGCTATTATGTCTTTTTATGACCATGTATTATACTGCATAACAATGACTTAAACATTTATGAAGTTTACTGGATGTTATTGTAAAATTTGTTAAATTCGAGGGCATTTCTTGTCCGGCTGAGTTATTCTGAAGGAAAAAAGCGCCAGTGTCTGGAAACTTTAAAGCTATCTTTCTCTTTATTTGTTGTGTGTATATGATAATTGTCCATCAGAAAATAAGCTTCCATTTGTAAAAAAAGTGCTAAGTTAGTGGTTTATGTAAATTGTCATGTATCAAGTTAATGTTAATGTATGTTGAATTTTAAGTGGGAAAAATTCATTTTGCAGCTAAAGTTTCAGGTTACTTTTCAAATTGTCTTCCGTTATCATAAACATTATGCTCATGTTAAAAGCAATATTGCAACTGTGTGTCTAGAATGATGTCTGAATTTTGTTATTCTTTAATATATCAGAGACATGCTAGGATACACTAGATTCTCCTATTTAAGTGAATCATTACAAAAATATGCAGACAGATTGAAATTTGTTCTTTCGAATTTTTGAGAAAGCAAAATATTATTATTTACATAATGAGAAAATTTTACAGAATTAATAAAAAGCATTTTGTTTCTGATGGTTTTAATAATAATACATTGTAATTGAGGTAAAAAAGTATAAAACTATAGATTATTTTTAATCAGTTAACAGTTAGGGAACATTGTGTTTGTATTTTGTAAAGTTTGGTTACAATGTTTCCCCAGCGGCTGTGCCAGGGTTTTATTAGTAATGTGAAACATTTTATCCATGCTACATAAATATACAATACTTTGATGTCTTGTTTATATACTTTTATTTGAGGAAACATCAAAGACGATGTTGTTGTTTTTTTTCGCTAACAAAATATGTGTTAATTTTTCACTAGTCTGTGTAATGTAGTAGGTATAAAAGCTGGTGTTTTGATGTGCAGTTTTGTAAGAGAAACAAATAACTGTTGTTAAAATGTAATGTTGTAAATCTTTGCCATGAAAAATTGTATACATGTACATGGTCACTATAATTTTCAGTGTGCGTGATTTTTTTCTCGAACTGATATTTTTTTTGATGACTATTCTTATTAATTTTTTTATTGACTATTTTAAATTGAAAAATTTGTATTTAAGGGCACAATTATTTTATTGATAAAAAAAGAAACTAAATTTTAAACTAAAATAAATGGGCTATTTTGATTGGTTTGTTTTGAAATTCAGAATTTAAATTTTGGTCCTATGGTAATCTTGCATTTTTTTTTCTAGGCTGGTTTTAGGAAAATTTGCCACATGACTTATCCCTAGATGGGTTATGAAATTTTAGATTTATTACATTCTTATGGTAATGTTAGGAAAATTATCTTTTATTTTACATAAATTCCGTTTCAAGTGCTGTTCTTAATGTTTGAGTCATTTTACAATTACATTATTAAATTGGTGCTATTTTATTTTTGGAATGAGTCATGTAGGAGTAAAACATAAGTAAAATTATTCCAAATTACATTGGTGATAACATAAAATATGCATAAAGATGAAGAAAAAGAAATCAGCTGATTTGCATTGAAGTTGAATTGTTTTTCCTTAAATAAATTGAAGCAACTTGATAACAAACTTTGCAATACATGTAGCTACTAAGGTCTTGAATATAATTTTTGTTAACTTTATATGAAATAAAAAAAATGAAATACATGATGTGTTCGTTGTTTGCAATATATTCATAAATTTTGTATATTTGGATATTGTACCACGGAGATACATTGATATAAATTGGGTGAATAATTAAGATTAAAATATTGGTCACAACTATCAAGAACCCCGATGGTAATGTTGCTGACATAGTGGCATTGGTAGTTTTCAATCCAGATCACGACAGTAATCCACATTGAATTTACCAGAGCACACTCAGCCACCGCTTACTGGACGGCTATATGTATCCGACATTTGATTGCCGACCCTTTATCTATGAATTCGAACCGTTCCAATGACTTTCTTTGAGTAAGCTACCAAATTATGATGAATGACGGTTTTCCGACGGTAGATCTAGTCAGGGGCTAGCCCAACCCTTAAATAACGGGGACATCCGCCTTAGGTTTTCTCAAGTCAGGGGCGAGCCCAAGCCTAAAATAATGGAGACACCCGCCTGAGGTTTTGTCCGCTACAGCTTGAAAGTCGCTTTGCATGTCTTCAAACACAACTAAGTATAAACAATTAAAAACAAGGATTCCTATATATTTTTTTAGATATAAATAACTTATTGCACGTGCTTGTGTCTGCCAATTAAACAGGGCGGAATGAAAATGTAATGATTATGAAACATGTCCATTAAACTGTAATATTAGAAACTCCCAGTTAAATTTGAGATGTAAAATAACTGACTATAAAACAAAGCCTATTATTGCTTGAAGTGTTGCTCACCAAAATAAACTTCAAAAAGCTAAGATTTTATATTATTTTAGAAAAGTTTGCAAATCATATAGTTGATAAACATTGCATTGTTTGGAACACGTGAGTGGCTTGGAAGAACCAACTTTAAGCTTGTGACTGTTTACTCTTTTTTTCAGAAGGAGTTCGTAAGGGATAATATAAAGAATTAAAACCACAAACTTACATGACGTATTAACAGACTGATCCAATCAAACGTTAGAATTCACGATACACTTTCAATCAGGACAAAAAGGTCAAGAATCTGTACGGCCATATTTAGCAATGTGAACTCTAATGTCTCTTTATATACATATAGTCTATTTGAACAACAATGATTTTGTTGCTTAGTCAACAATGAAACACTTCAAATCAAATTTAAAAATAGACACAATCGTGTTAATTATATTAAAGATAAATCATTTTATTCAAACTAGTAAGTTAATGCTAGTACACTAAATTATCTTATATAAGTAGTAAGTATGCGTGAATAAATTGTCTCATATGTGTCTTCACATGCTCACATTTCCAAGGAATGCAGCTGAGGGACATGATAATGAAATTTATTTCATTTCTCAAAGCAGGTTTAAAAGCCTAAAAACATAACGTTTGAATTTCTTACATAAATGAGCTGGGACACTTTTGACAGAAATATACGCAAAGATAGTTAAGAATTATACGTTGAAATAAATTGAAAATCGTATTGTTATGCTTTTCTTAGCCCGATTTGAGTGTAAAGCGTTTAAACGCTTTTCATCTTGGGTTATTTTGTTTACAATTTGAGTAATTATTATTCTTGAAAAACGAAGTGCGGGAATGATCTGAAATTTTGCACAAAGATTAGTGGTCGAAACGTACATCAAATGGTACATTTATTTTGAAAAAAATATTTTCAGACCCATCATGTCAAAAAACCTCAGTGGAGTCCCTATAAAACAAATTTAATACACATGCCCAAATAAACGTGATGGTGCGTTAAAAGTTAATTGGTCGTCTTAATAGGAACTCTTACCCATACATGTCGCAGAAAGATTATATCATGCACGCAAAGATGATTACATATCCTGACTTGATCATAATCGTAGTAGCGTAGTTACATGGATGTGAGGTAACCTTGATTTTGGGTATAGATTTATTCTATCCTTGGCAATCTTTTTTATATAACTGTATGGGAGATGGTCTGTGGTCCTGCATCAAACACTCAGATGAGGCGGTTCAGTTCGATTCTTAAATCTTCTATAATATTTAAGTGCTATAGTATATGTATTGTTTACTAATGTTCAGAAAGATTGTTGTCACTTTCGCCGTGTGCTGGTATGGCATATTGGAGAAATCGCAATCTTATGTTGTATAAACCTCAGTTTGAAACCCTTGTTTGAAACAACAATAATAAATAAATAAATGAATAAGGGTCAAGTATATTTCAGAAGATTTTTTTACAAATCAAGCATAATCTTTCATTTACCAGCTCAGACGCGTATGCATTTGAATAACTCGTGACATCACGTAACTGAACGGACACGTGATCTGGCTGAAAAAATTACATTATCAATTTTGCAAGCGAGCGTAAAATAATTATATCGTTACATATATTGAACCATAATGGAATACAGTATTAATAATGTCTGGTTTTCTGAAACGGAAGCATCGGTTAGGATACGAAACTATCCATTCGAGTATTTACTTTTGTTTCCAAGCAATGTTTAAGAATTGAAACTACATGAATTTACTTTTATTTCTAAAAAAAACTCATCTGAAAGGACATTCGGTAAGATGTGGGGATTTTTTTAAAAACAGAATTGACCACAAATTTAAAATATCTAAAAACTGGTTTCGCTTTTAAAAAAGCATGGAGAAAAATATTTAAATAAATGTAGCCCGCTCATTGATATCACGGATATTCCTATATTGCTACACCGCTTTATTTATTTTTAAAAAAATCTATTCTCCACGTCATGTGAAATACGTGAAATTAAATACGACGTGTATAGTTAATGGGTAGGAGCAATGTAATGAAAGCGGAATAGAAGAAAAAAATATATTTTGAAGAAAAAAAACAACAACAAAAAACATACAGGAAAGCGGAATAGAAGAAAAAAAACTAAAAAAAATAATAATTAAAAAAAAACAACAACAAAAAAACAGAAACATATACAGCCTACATAAATATTCTTGTGTGAAAAATATCAATTTTAGAAAATTGTCTCATCACGTCTAAACAATAAAACAATACGGCAGTTAGTATACAATATCGGATCACGTTCTGCTGTATATACATGTTACATAATATTATTCTACTGTCATCTGAACCGATGCCAATAAATGATGATGCATTTTGCGCATCGGAAAACTAAAGTACAAACAGATATTTCCAGATATTAGTCAATGTCCAAAGAGTGAAGCAGAACATTTTGAAATGTCGAAATATTCTTGATATACGCTTTCAGCGCAAAGTTCGCGCCAGAATCCACTTGTTCTATTTTTTAACATATCGGTTTAATAATTGAATATGAAATGACACATAAAACAATCCCGCGAAAAAAAACAGGTTGTATTTAAGTTCCTGAAACTAATTGTAAAGTATGTCAAAGCGATATGATAAAAGAGAACGCGGAACAAAAAAGAAGGAGTGAATTGGTACAGTCTAATTGTAATCCTTTTACCGCCCACTCGACACCGACAATGAGTAACGCGGAGGGGAAGTAAATCTGTCGGTATATATATGATGCAGTGATTCAGAGTAAGAATGGCTTCTTTCAGTTTTTGTTTCGCAAACAATAATAATTGGATCCAGATCAAGTTTGAAGACAGAAACATGTAGGTGAAAATACAAAAACGTAGAAAATCGAGGATTTTGATCTTATGAAGTATTACATTTTCCATAATACACACCCTTATTTTATTAAATCTATATATATAGTGGGAAAAGAAAAAAAAGACAGAAGTCCCTGTGAATATACGAAACCCCTACAGTTTAAATATTTGACAACAAGAGAACGACCAAGGTCCTGCATCGCTCATCTGATTTTATTTTATTTTTGGTTACAAAATGGTAAACTGTCCGAAAAGGCCAAAATGAAAAAGTGCGCTTATAACAAAACCATCTGAAACAGCCAGAAAATAGTTTCAGGCATCTAAAAAACATACAAACATGTAGTCAAAAAATGAATAGAAATAGAAAAATGTAATAATGATGATACATGTAGTTATATTAAAAAGGCTCATACCACAGAAAGTGCAAACAGAAGAATGAATGGCGGCACACTGGAACAAGGTTTAACTACCCTGGTAATGCACTGTCACTTGTATTACGCCACTCGGGCAGCGAGGGGAATATCAGGCGGGAAATGAGTCAATGTGACGGTTAAATAGTTGGCGGGAATGTCTAGGTCAAAGTACGCGCGAATTTAGCGGCGATTTCATCATCTGGTCATGCCCGAAGGTTTTAAAAATTCAAAAGTTCCCGATATTCCGGGTTATAATTGACGTCCATTGAATGACACTCTAATGTGACATTCGAGGTGTATGGTCCTAGATACAGGCTTATTAGAAGTACGCTGGAGATTCATACACTTATTTATCCGCTCATTGATCCATCCGCCGATCTTCTTCTTTCAATAATGATATGATTCTCGTGCCCAGATTAAATGAGGCTGTTGATTTACCATACCTGTCCTTCATAACCAGCATTGAACGTTCGATTCCTTCAAGCGACGAAGCAAACATACTAGCATAGTGAAAGTCGCAAATTCTACTGCATTAGTAAATTCTTGATTTCGCCATATCACTATAAGTGTATGTAGAAAACTTCAAGCTATTTTCCAGCGAAAGTTGATGAAAAACAGTTGAATGAAAAACAGTCGATCAATATAAGGGGAGGCAATTTAGAGTCACAATTTGTTTTTCCCCTTGAAAGCAATATTTTCAGTGTTATGCAAGTGTTGAAAAGTTTTCATTAAAACAGGTTTTTTTTTTGCTTTTTATAACGGTTGATTGAAGATTTTCGAAAAATGGATGATGCACATGTATAATTATATTGACTAAAGAATGCTGAATAGATAATTTCATTTCAAAAAAGAGACAATCTGATGTACGCTACAGATGCACGATATACATGTATCATAATAGATCTAGCTAACAATATACATTATCACAAATTATGTTATCATGAAGATACCTGTAGATGAATGTCTGTTTTATAAATCTCAGGTAATTTACAAATCTTACATAAAGAAAATGATAATTTAATAGGCCGAGCAACAGTATTTTAATAGTTATTTTTAATAGTTCTTGAGTTTCGAACTATGCAATTTCTTTAACTAACAATTTCTTTCAACTTCTCTGAAAACAATGACTGCACACTAACCAATCCAGAAATGATGGTGGTGGTGGTGTTGGTAGTTTTCACTCCGGATCAAGACAGGAAGCCACATTAAATTCACCAGAGCACAGTTCAACCACCGCATCGTTCCTGGGCAGGCTGTCAAGAAGTTTACCAGTACTAGTTGCCTTCACTTTCGCAAGGAACTGAAACTTCTGTACATGCCAGAGCAGATGTTCAGTGCGAATTACCGTAGAAATGATTTCATGATCAATCACAACGAAAGTGACCTGCGCCGTCCGGGCCTTCGAACCCGGGTCGCCCGATTTACAGTCCAAAGCTCTACCTATTGAGCTAACCGGACGGCTCTTCCAGAGATGATCCATTTGGTGGTCCCCTTTTAAAGTAGTCGAAATGGTTACGGTCTGTTGCATACGTAGGTGACCGGGCCAGAAAGGAAGTTTGAAAAATGCAAATTAAAAAAAGTCTTGTCTGAAAGTACAAGGCCCAGAGCTTTGATATTTTGTATATTATAACATCTATAGGTTCTCTACCAAAGTTGCTCATTTTTTGCCTCTAGTGTCAAAAATGGTCCCTCCCATTGCGGGGGTCATAGGGTTTCCTTATATGTATATTGTAAAAAACTTGAAAATATTCTCAACTGGAACGCGGACTTATATTGCAATATAAATCCGTGACTGGAATGACAAACGCTAGTAGTTAGATAGTTGGCATGATACATTTGGAATGGAATGAGTCATAAGTGGCCCTGACTCCGAGAGGGGGGGGGGGGTTCATTGGTTCGCGCACTATGCACATAAACTATAAATTTTAAAAAATATGTATATTTTGTTAATACGAGGGTTGTTCAAAAAGTAATAGGACTGCAGCTCTACTGTTCACATTTTTCCATCTACGTACACGAGTTTACAAAAATCGAATATCGGAATTTGTCCTTTATATACAGTGAAAAAATCAATACAATATGTTTAAAAACAACAATTCTGTACAACTTACAAATGACAAGGGGTACGCGACCCGGCGCACGCTAATTGTTAAATAAATGACGTTCATGACGTCGCAAAATAAATTCAAAATATAAACAGCGTCATTCTTTCTGAAATTATTCTCCACAATGTTCTAGGTGCTTGAATCATGTTACTATAACCAGAACTCATCTGTGGAGATGTGGCGAAAAAAAGCAATCACATTTTCATTTCTGTATTCGAAACATGCCCGGTGGCCGGCAACTTTCGGTTTGATCTCGTGATTTTGAGTAATCTGGAAGCTAAACGGGCATGGACATATAATGTAAATGACAAAGTGATTTATATTATTTATTTACATAGGCAATCTTACATTCTTAAAACAATATGATTATGTACAGTAAATTAAAAATGCTTATTTATTGAAAAATATTCTCTTCTTCTGAGCACAGGCTATCATTTATTAAACGAAATCGAGAAAAATTGATACCAATAATTACCGCGTATCATTATCAAATTTATTCAATGATAACACACACACACATATATACAATGTATATCTTATAAAATAAAATAGTGTTTAAAACAAATTTCCCCTATTCAATAATTTTCTTAGAACTGAAACAGTAGACCCGATGCAAACATTAAACATGCCGGACAGTTCGCGGACTGTATATCGCCGATACTTTTGTAGCGCTATTGCAATTAACGTCTCTAACGTCCGTCAATTTTCTGCTTTCTCCCTAGCCCTTTCGTGTCTGTGATCTCATATTCACCGTCTTTGAACTGCTTTCTCCAGCTGAAAACGAGTGTCCTAATTGCCTAATTATTGTTCTGTGAAAATTTAATCTTTTCATAAGTAGCTGAAGGAGTAGGGCCTATTTGTTGGCAAAATTTAATGATCGTACACATTTTAAGTTTTTCAACGAACGTCATTTTTCTACATTAAACGCGATTATCACTGCTGTTCAAAACGTTAAAGTTTAGCGATTTCTTGTCTGAATGACGTCAAATTTGGACAATATGACACTTTAATATGATAAAATGTGTTGGTGAAATATTGGGGGGAAAAGACAACATATTATAAATAAACTGAAAGTACAAATTAGCGTCAAAATATTTTTGATGCGCTGCGCCGGGTGTGTGTTACCATGGTTATTTAATATCATAGGGAACACGCGTTTAGCGCAATGATTCAATAAACTTATGCTGAGGTTGTAGACAACAATTAACTATTGCCGTGGATATGAAAATATTTAAAATCTAATGGAATATGGAGACATAAGACTCTTAGTCCTATTACTTTTTGAACAACCCTCGTATTATTAGATTCTCTATCATAACTCATATAATTTCATAATTCATAAACTGGTTTTCAAATAGAATTCAAATAGAAATAAAAGATATCTCTGAAGATTTGAAATGCAATGTAATTTCGAAAGCAGTTGTACAACCATCAGGACATGATACAACTGTACAGTACATTTGTATCTCATCAAAAATAAAACATTTAAAAATCGTCACATACAAATCATTTTACACACCCATTCTATAATTTTGAAAAAATACTAACTGGTCTGTAAATTGCCAAAAAGTTTTCCTCCAGCAATTTTCATATTTTGACATTAGTAGCTCCTTTAGAATGTTTACCTTTCAAATCAATGGGAGACTACTCAGTTAGTTCTGAAAAAATAATGTTTTCGTTTAACACGAAACCTAAAATTTCTTAAATTTTACATCACCTACATGCTTCCGCACTGCAGCCATTTTAAAGACATAGCGGGTAGAAGTATTGTGTAACAACAAATTTGAAAATAATTTACGGCAAACTGATGCAAAATACTTGTTAACAAAATAAACAAAAAGTAAAAAAAATGAGTGAGCTTGATCCAGGCAAGCTTGACAAGCTGAGGGTAGCAGATCTTCAGAAAGAACTTGGGGCGCGTGGTCTTGATACAAAGGGAAAGAAATCTATATTGATCTCACGTTTGAAGAAGGCCTTAATAGGTAATTTAGATGTAATTTGTATATGTATTGTGTTTAAATGAAGCGCATGGTTTTAAATTCAAAGTTGCGAATGTTCATCATTGTTTAAAATGTTTAAAGTCTGCAAGGATATCCTGCAAGAATTTTGGGTCAACTCGGCCCTGAACTAACTCGAAGCGGATCAGCTATCAATTTGTATAAAAAAAATTGTAAAAGAACCAAGAGGTCTATTTGATAAGAGCCAGATTCCCTTGAATCTCATAGTCATAGCTGTCTCTCAATTCAATGTATACCTGCTTAGTGTAATCATAAACGATTTTAGATGTTAGTATAATGAAATTACCCAAAATGGCAGTCATTGAAAATATTCTAAAAAATTTCATTTTTATTGGTTCTTTTGAAATAACTTTTTGACAAACAGTTCTGGAAAAGGTTCACTTATAAGATGGACTAAAAATCTCACTCTCTTATGATATTTATATTTAAATATTTTCCGATAAACGTTAAGTACCTTGATATCATAGAACCCCGGGCTACAGTGTACTCAAAGTTCATGGAACAATTAATTTTTTATGCGCTTGGGTCGTCAGACCAAACAAATAATGGTAGCGAAATTTCAGACTCTAATGCTGTTAATTGCAAGTGCCGAAAGTGGCCGCTTTTTTGAAGCCGTTACTTCCCTTCATATGTAACACTTGGGCCGAAAAATTTAGGGGAGATCACTGCATAAATATGGTCACATGACAGGCGGATTAATTTTCAAGCAAAATAATTCCCGAATAGTTGAAGATTTCTAATACTGTGTTATTCTTTATAGATATACATGCTTATAGTAAGTGCCTAGTCCAATATATTAGACGTTACAGGCTTGTTATAGTTCTTGTAGGTCAAGCCCGACGTCTAATAGTTATTGCTCAAAAACGCATAGCATCATAAAAAGTTCAAAATATGTCTATTGTCTTGCCTTTCAAGCTTTATTCAAAAGCTTATCTTCTTTTCTTTCAATTTCATGCTCAATCATACACAAAAATTCTCAAACAATGTACTTATCAATTCCAAATTTTTGAACGGAAAAATATATTCAAATACACTGACGGTGCATGGGCAATTATTTCGTTAAAAAAATATTCCGTTAGATTGTTCTGACTCAGTTAAACCCTTGCATTTGAATTAGCCAATCAGATTTCGCGCACTGTGTGGCCGCCATTTGTTTATCGGCTGAATATGGAATTTAAGTATGTGAAAGGATTTAATCATGATTTTTCGGATGTGACAGTTTAATTATTTTGACAAAAGGTATTTATTTTTTAGTTTTGTTCATAAATAGGTCAAAACCATTGTAAATACAGGCTGTCTTAATTGTTTTTCGTTCCGCCCGATTTTCTGGCGGAACATGCTATGGGTTTTTGAGCAATTTTGATATGACGTTGCTTTGCCCAGAAGCAAAAATATCTCAAAGCGACGTCATATTTATAGGACTAAGTAAGCGCCATGATTATTTACACAATAGTTAAACAACAGTTAGCGTCGTTACAAACCCTAACTAGAATAATATGATTTGCTTCAGGCCGTAAATATGTATATCCACCGTGGTGGAGGGGTTTGCGCGCTCGCTTAGGAAGCGAGAGGTCTGGAGTTCAAATCCCAGTTAAGGCAACACATTTTTTTCAAATTGTTTAAGTCAAATAAACATTGGATCAAATATCAGTGTTGCAATTAGTCTTATAGCCAATTTACTACAATTAAAACGCTGGAAAGCATTGGTGGCACTATACAAAAACAAATTGTTTTATAATGTCACAACCTTCACCTTTCTGACATTCTGAGACCCAAACAAATTCAGCGCCTTCTGTGCTTTGATTAATATTAAGGCATTGGTTAGAAAAATATGTAACTAAATGTACAAGTGCTTATTGTCTTTGATTACTTACTTAATTGGTTGAAAATTTGTGTGAAGTCTTAAATTACTTGATTTTGCATCTAAAACTGAATGCACTTTCATACGAATTTATTTCAAAATTTTAGCTGGAGATGATGGAAGTGAAACAGCAGATGCAGACTTGTCAGTGAATTCGGCTTTAGATACCTCACAAGATACTTCTGAAAGTCTTAATGAAAGTTCTCAGGAAGCCTCGCAACAATCTGAGTCTGAGACAGAGCCTGTGGCTGAGCCAGAAACAGTTGCTGAGCTGGAACCCGAACCAGTGGTTGAGCCGGAACCAGAGCCAGTGGTTGAGCCGGAACCCGAACCAGTGGTTGAGCCGGAACCAGAGCCAGTGGTTGAGCCGGAACCTGAGCCAGTGGTTGAGCCTGAACCTGAGCCAGTGGTTGAGCCGGAACCTGAGCCAGTGGTTGAGCCAGAACCCGAGCCAGTGGTTGAGCCGGAGCCTGAGGTATTTTTTACAAATTCAGACATTGTCTTACTAAATGCAAACAAGCTTTATAAATCAACAGGTGTATAATCTATTATGTGTAAAACTTAAACGATTCATAAGAAGAGCTGTTTCATTATGTTTATGGATAATAGGTGGTAACAGGCCTATAGACAGGTTGAAATAAATTGTTAATTAAATGCTACATTTTATACATTCCAAATAGATTAATTGTACACAAAAAACAATATCATTTTACATTGTTTGCTAATAATGATAAAAGTAAAATTTATTTTGTAAACAGCCCGAGGCAGAACCAGAAAAAACACCTGAGCCAGTGAAAGAGCCTGCCCCTAAACCGACTAATGACACTGAAAAAGTTAAGGAAGAAGCTGAGCCTATGGACCAGCAAGAAATCAAAGAAGAACCGGTTGAGAAAGAAAATGACAATGCACAAGGTGATGAGGCAGTTTCCAATACGGAGGAGCCTATGGAGGGAGTAAAGCAAGAGGTATTAATTGTGTTGACATTTGATTTTACATTTTCTTCTGTTCCATGATACTAATTGAAAAATAATTATATGATTGATTAGCGCGGAGGAAGGTTGTCAATTACTGGTGTAACTCACCAGGAACGATGGTTAGGAAACTACCCGCCTATATGACTGAAATACTGTTGGGAAAAGGCGTAAAATGAAACAAACAAACAAACAAACATATGATTGATTAATAGTAAGGTCAAAGATATTGAACTCCTCCTAAGATTGCTTTAACATTGGGAACTGAATAAAAAAACATAGTTGTCATTTGTGTATTTTCTGTTGTTTTAAAGGTCAAGGAAGAAAAGGAAGGTGAACAGATGAATGGAGATCATATGGAAGATGACTCGGAGCAGAAGCAAGAGCTTGATGATCATAAAGATAGACATGGTAAAAATTATACAGATTTTATTCCGTCTTGAATGAAGTGTAAAATCTCATATGTTCATTCAGATATATATATAAATAAGGAGAGAGAAGTTTATTTAGGAATGAGCTTTATAGAGTGCAGATTGTTTCGCCAGAAGTCGTAGGCAGGGCAAGTATTTTAATTAAATTTCAACGTTTTCAATCAAGTCGTTTTACCAGTTTATGGTTTGTGTGATTGATGTGGAGTAAAGAGCAGCAACTTTATGGTGTGAAAGTGTGTACTGGTACACAATATGGGAACATGACAAGTACTGTATGCCAACCAGTGTATGACAGAAATACAGTTCAAAATTGATGTTTAACTTTGGTTTAAACATATTTATTTAAGCTTGATTGCGAAACAACTTCTTGTAAAATACTGGTGTCATATGGAGAAACATGGTCATGACCCGATTAGGGCTCAAGTCCATGATCCCTGGGTTGAGAGGCAGACACCGTAACCACTAGACCATGGCTCCTCTTGTTTAACTTTAACAGCCTAGTCCTGTTTCTGTTTAGGATTTTCCTGTTTCTTTATTCTTATTTAAGACATATTGATGTGATATTATAGAGGCCAAATTAGACAAAGAATGAACTCAATTGTTATCATTAATGTTTTTGATACACATATTATGTTCTTTTTTTAGAACGAGGTGATAAAAGGAAAAGGTCATATTCAAGATCTAGGTCACGTTCTCGTGAAAAGGACCGTCGCAGATCTGGTGGTAGAGATAGATCTCGTGAAAGAAAGCCTTCACCAGTACAGGAACCTAAAGTTAGGAGGCGCCCGTAAGTTCATCAGTAAATTCTTTTGTTAATGTATTGATATGTCTCCGAGAGACTGAGATGACCATTTGCATCCGGTGTGGCCATGTCTCCTCAGAAAGTTAAATAAACAATAACTGTATGATAACAAACAAAATATTGTTTCAATTTTGCAAATGTTTGAATGTTTTCTGATTATTTTCACAAAATTGTGACTGGTAATGGGGATTTTAATTTTTATGCCACCGCAACATATAGCGATTCACCTGTGTGTACATATGTACATATAGTAAAAACTTAAAATACCTTCTTGTAAAGACCCAAAAGGCCTAGAGCTTAGATATTTTGCATAAGGCATTGTCTGGTAGACCCTTACCAAGATTGTTCAAATTATAGCCCTGGGGTCAAAATCGGCCCGCCCCGGGGTCATTGATTTTCACTATATGTACATATAGTAAAAACTTAAAATACCTTCTTGTAAAGACCCAAAAGGCATAGAGCTTAGATATTTTGCATAAGGCATTGTCTGGTAGACCTCTACCTAGATTGTTCAAATTATAGCCCTGGGGTCAAAATCGGCCCTGCCCCGGGGTCATTGGTTTTCCTTATACTTTAAAAAAATTTCTTCTAGCAATTGACAAATGCTAGAGGTTAGATATTTTGCATGAAACATTGTGTAGTCTAGTGTCAAAATTAGCCCCGCCCCGGGGGCCGTAGTTTTCCTTATATGTATTTAGTAAAAACTTAAAAAATCATCTTCTCTAAATTTACAAAGGCTAGAGTTAAGATATTTTGCATGAAAAATTGTGTAGTGAACCTCTACCAAAATTGTTGAAATTTTAGCCCTGGGGTCAAAATTGGCCCCGCCCTGGGGGTCATTGATTTTCACTATATGTACATATAGTTAAAACTTAAAATACCTTCTTGTCTGAAGATACAAGGCTTAGAGCTTTGATATTTGGTAAATAATATCATCTGTAGGTACTTTACCAAAGTTGCACAAATTTTGCCTCTAGTGTCAACATTAGCCCCGCCCGGGGGTCATAGTATATAGTAAAAACTTTAAAAAATCACCTTTATATTTTGATTGAAATCTTTTGTAATGAACCTCTAGAAAGATTGTTCAAATAATAGTCCTGGGGTCAAAATTTGCCCCTCTGGGGGTCATTAATTTTCACTATATACATACAGTAAAAAATTTAAAAATCTTCTTGTCTGAAGGTACAAGGCTTAGAGATTTGATGTTTGCTTTATAATATCATCCATAAGTCCACTACCAAAGTTGTTCAAATTTTGCCCCTGGTGTCAAAATTGGCCCTGCTGAGAGGGCATTGATTTTCATTATGTACACATAGTAAAAACAGAAACTAAAACAATTTTTTTCTGAATTGGAGAAAGCTACAGCTTAGATATTTGACATGAAATGTTGTTTGGTGGACCTGTATCAAGATTGTTTGAATTAAAAATTTTGCCTTTCCCAAGGGGACAGTGGCCTACTTTCTTGTCCTTTGATGTATAGCCATGTAATTTTGACTGTGCACAGTTTTAGTTGTAAAATTGAACTTTGATATCAGGTGACCTAGATTTTGATGATGTGACCTACTTTCTTGTCCTTTGATGTGCAGCTATGAAATTTGAACCATGTGCACAGATTAAGATGCAAAGTGATATTTGAACTTTGATATCAGCTGGCATAGATTTTGACAAAGTGTCTTACTGTGTTGTCCTTTGATGTACAGTCGTGGAATTTTTGCCATGTGAAATATGACCTTCACCACCAAATTCAATAGACTCAACTGCATTGATAGATTCCTACTCTGATCTTTTATTTGAATAACAATAGTTTTAACTACTAATCTGATAATAAGAATTAGATAGGTCAGTGATCTATGCATTGCATTATGGCAATCTTCAATTGTAAAGAAACAAAAAAATTCTGTTCCTACATTACTATTTAGTGTTGTATTAATGCGGTGGCATAGCATTTTTCACAAATGCAATCTTTTTCATATTGCAATATATCGGTATACCGGTAAAACGTTACACCCTTATTAACCAACGCTGAAAAGCCTTTGACTCTATCTCAATTTGTTGAGAAGTTCCAGCACTTTGAAATCATTTTGAAGAAAAATAGTGATTTTTGGCAATTTTGAGATGTCCCCTCCATGTTGCCATGGTATTAACAGGAAATTTTAGACTGAGCATGTTGTTACAAAGGCAATGGTCCAGCCAAGTTTGATCAGTATTAAAGCAGTTTTTATAATTAAATAGCAATTTGAACTTGTAACTGGATACTTTTCAATGAAAACAGCCATTTTTCACAAAATGCTCATGCAGTAATGGGTTTACAACAGAATACAAGTTCATATAAACTAGTAGTACCTAGATAAATGAGCATTTAAAAAAAAGGTTTATTTAGTGTCTACCTATCAATATTTAGTGTCTACCTATCAATAAGTAAATAAAAGTATGACAATCAATAATGTAAATGACTTGAGCCTACCATGTGATAATGTAAAATGATTGTTTACATATTGTGAAATATCTTGAAATAGTTTGTACTTTATCCTCGAAGTAAAGAGGTGTGTTACAAATCCAAGTTTAGTTTCGGTTTCAACACAGTTATTAATGATTAGCCTTTTGTAATGGATAAAAAACGACCTTTATCAAAGTAAGATATTATATTTATTTTTGTTTTGTATTTAGTGTATTTTCCTGAAATATTGAGTTCCCTTAAACTGAAACTAAATCGATTTAAAATATGTTTCATTGATGCATGACTGCTTAATTTTTTATCATATCAGGAGATAAATTAATGTTTTTGTTGTACATTTAAAGTATAAGGGCTGTTCAGCTGTTCAGGTACCTTTAATCTTTAACCTAAATACACTTTTATGAGTGACTAACCTAGTCTTATTTTGAGGAATTTGGGAATTCTTCTGTTCTGTAGTCTTTATGATGATTTTTTTTAGGTTTTTAGGTCAAGTAGTTGATTTATTTCCCTGAAATGTGTAAACTTTGTGATATATTTTTGTAGACGATCTCCCATAGAGCCAGAGACAGATGATTGGAAAGCCTTAACAAATGTTACCCTAGATAGATGTAAGTTTTATTTTGTCTCCATTTTTTAATGATAGAAATATTGACTGTTGATTTAATGATACAAATATTGAGTGTTGATTAACATTATATATATAAGTATTCATGCAATCTATTCATTAATCATTTGTATTGATATGTTATGTAATGAAATAATGATGTTTTAACAGTCAATGAATTTAAGGTTTTGAATGTACTGGCTTGAATTCCAGTTTTAATTAATTCTATATATTTAACTAAATTTTCTTAAAATTTACACTGGCCCGAATTAATTTACACCGGGCCAGTGCTAAATTGGATGACTGTTTTAAAGTCCCTTTAATTGAAATTGGTTAATAATGATAGTGTTATATATTTTGCACTTCACTGAAAAACCAGCGGTAAAGAAAATAACAAAGAAGCAACAATAAAGGCTTCAATTAACTCAAACTCAAAATTAGATATATTAAAATAACTTGGATTGTTTATGTGATAGAAGTAATAACTTGGATTATTAGTGATATTTTTGTGCCCCCACGTAAGTGGCGGGCATTTAGATTTACCCTTGTCCTTCCGTCCGTCCGTTCACTTTTGTGTCGCACGTAACTCAAAAAGTATTTGCCCTAGAGTCATGAAACTTTACAGGAATGTTGATCAGCATGTGTAGTTGTGCACCTGGGTATTTTCGTCTGGATATTTTTAGTATTTTCAGAGTTATTGCCCTTGACTTAGTAAAACTTTGCAATTTTCAACTTGTGTCGCATGTAACTCAAAAAATATTTGACCTAGAGTCATGAAACTTTACAGGAATGTTGATCAGCATGTGCAGTTGTGCACCTGGGTATTTTCGTCTGGATATTTTTAGTATTTTCAGAGTTATTGCCCTTGACTTAGTAAAATTTTGCAAATTTTCAACTTGTGTCGCATGTAACTCAAAAAATATTTGACCTAGAGTCATGAAACTTTACAGGAATATTGATCAGCATGTGCAGTTGTGCACCAGGTATTTTCGTCTGGATTTTATTTAGAATTTTTAGAGTTATTGCCCTTCACTTAGAAACTTTTTTGCAATTTTCAACTTGTGTCGCAAGTTACTCAAAAAGGATTTGACATAGTCATTAAACCTTATGGGCAGGTTGCTCAGCATATTTAGATTTGCACCTGGGGTTTCGCTTGTTGATTTATCCAGTATTTGTAGAGTTATTTCCCTTGACTTAGTAAAAAGATTGACAGAACAGTGGCGCAGTGGGGGCACCCGTGTCCTATGGACACATTTCTAGTTATACTTTCATAAACTTATGTTATTTAGATAATGGTGAGTTGTCCCTCAAGATTAGCAAGGACGGTTTAACAGGAAAGCCAAGTCATGATGAAGGGTTTGCTATGGTATGGGCGGGTGTTAGAGGAACATATGGCGTAAAATCGGGCAATGTTGCTTTTGAAGTGAAAGTAAGTTTAAATGTCTTTTTCATCTCTGTGTGTTAGATTATGGTCCTTTTCAGTTCATAATCTTGCTATAATTAATCTCACTTCATAATGCTTGCCTCATAATGTTTACCCTATCTTGTTTGTTTCCACTTGTGGATGCTCTCTCTGACAAGATAATTTAGGATCTGTATTTAATGAACGGTGCTCTTCCATGTTGATTTTTAGTCTCAAATATTTTGAATGTTTAAATGAAATATTCATTGTCTCTCACTGCTGATTTAGAATTAAAGTTGGATCAGTCAGGATTTTGGCACTTACTGTTTATCAAAGATTTAGCAATTAAGATCGGTTGACTGTTGAGATATGACTAAAGAATGTGTTTTAATCATTATAAGAAAAAAACAAACATTGAGTCAAGTTAAAAGTTCAAGTTAAAAGCATGTCATTGATTTGTTTGAAACTAATGTTGTCAACATGATCACTAAAATAATGTGCAATATGTGTTGTCTAGTACAATTATGCTTTGGTGTGAATAATATGCCTTATAAGCGAATTTGTCAAGTAATTTTTTTTCATTCTTGCTATATTTCAAGTGCTGTATTTGTAAATGACTTGTGTCTATTGCCAAAGGCAGAGATTTGCAGATTTGCAAATAAAATTTGAACTTGTCAAGCGTTTGAGATTGTATTGTGTTACCTTAACATATCGTAATACATTTGGATGCTAGTTTTGATAAGATGATCTGTATTTTCAGTTGTTAGAAAATTTGCCTGTAGAGCATCTCGGACCAGAGGAGACAAATCCTCATGTACTGAGAGTTGGATGGTCAACTGATGACAACAATCTACTGTTAGGTAGGTATCCTTTCATTTCCCTTCTTTATTAGATCCAGAAACAATGATTGATGCTGTTGTTTAGAAAAATGATGCTTGGAAAACTTCTTTAAGTAATGACTATTTTTCTGGAAAAACTTTCAAAAATAGTGACTATTTTGCTGGAAAAACTTTCAAAATCAATGACTGTTGTTGGGAAAAGTTCCAGAACTATTTCCCTTTCTTTGAAAAAAAATGATGGAAAATGATTGAATATTACTTAAATACAATGTTTGTTTGCGATCAAATCCATGTCGGCAGTATCGGGAAGTTTTTGAGTTGTGAAAATATATAAACTGGGATGGAATGTGTTACAGTATCAGGCAATATTATGAAGTTTCAATAACTTTTGATACTGTTAACAGTTCAAGGAAAAATAAAAACTCCAGGACCAAAACACTGAGAAAATGTTGAATTTAAAGTACAGATGTCATGATGGAAGAATATATTATAAAGTTTAATTAAGTTGTTTTAATTCATTGTATTGTTCTATATTATACAGGAGAAGAAGCCCTATCTTTTGGTTATGGTGGTACAGCCAAATCTTCAACAAATCTCAAGTTCAATGATTACGGTGAGACATTCACTGCTGAAGATGTTATAACAGCCTACATTGTAAGTACATTTCATATATCTATAGGTCCACCTGCTTACCTCGATAGAGGGAGCATTGAAATTAGTAATCCAGGGGTCACTGGGTCGATGGGTGAAACAAATTATAGTAGGGACAATTGATTTCGAACATTGAGTCTCATGGTCACATTTGCATCTCGGCACTGATTCTGAAATCATTTGAAATTAATAGTCAGTAACTTGCGGAGAAGTTGATAATTACTTGTTAGTTATCCATGAAAGCATTTTAGCTGAATTGATTGCTGTGATATGTCCTAAGAATCTGTTAAAATTTGTGTAAAACCAGAAAAACAAATTCATAGAATTAACTCCAAGAACATTTGTTTTAATTATGAATTGCTGTTGTTACCATTCTAGAACTGCATTATTATGCAAATTTTTTGCCTGCTAAAGTTTAGAAATTTAAATCTTGATATTAAATAATGTAAACAAATGAAATAACTAAACAGGATCTCTTTTTGTAACCCCAGATGTAAAACTGTCCTGATTTGTTATGTAAGAACTTTGTATGATTACCCTTCGTTTTAGACTAGTTTGGTTCATTAATTTTCCACTTGCTGGTCTTAATTCTTAAGTATTTCCTTTCAGTGAATTTTCCACATATTGTGTTTTATAACATGATAGTTCAGATTGTTTGATTTAGAATAACATCTATTTAAATTATGAGGTTCTTATCAACTTTAACTCTAAATCATTATTGTTTTTACAGGATTTAGATTCGGATCCATGTGTGATCTCCTATGCTAAGAATGGCAAGCACCTTGGCATCTGTTTTGAGTTTGAGAAGTCCGAGCTTGGGGAGAAGGCCATGTTTCCACATATCCTGACAAAAAATACATCATTTGAGTGTAACTTTGGATCCAAGGTAAGGGAAATATAAACCAATGATAAAGTCTATGTTATAGATCATTGATTTTCATTTTGTTGGAATTTTGATGTTATAATCAAATGTTGCAATACTTGTCATTTAGCAATCATTCTTTTACATTGGGAATATTGGCTGCTTTTCATTGAATAGTAGGAAATTGACCCATGCAAAGTTCCACAATGTTGAATTCTGCTGAAGCCAATGATTGGGAGCATGCATGAATAATCACATGCATAAACTGCTGCTGTCCAAAAACAGATGCAAAAATACCTTCTGCAAAATTTACTTTTGATTGTTTTGGTTTTCACTTTTCACTATTTTCAATGTAAAAGAGAATATTCTTTATTAACCCTTAAACTGCTGGAACCAAAAGTGATTAGCCTTTGCCACCAGTATAGAACCAGGCCAGCCTGCACTTCCGTGCAGTCTGACCAGGCTCTATACTGTTGGCAGGTCAATTTTTGTATTTTGACATTGAAATCACTTGAACTTTGAATGGACTGTTCCAAATTCAAAGCTGGACAGATTCATTATAGAAATATAGCAGACTGAGTGTTAAGGCCTAGTGTATGAAAGTTTTTAACAATTAGTAATTTGTATTAACTTTTCAGGAAGAGCCATATTTTCCCCTGGAGGAAGATTATACCTTCATTGATGTTGTACCACTTGAAGAAAGAGTACGAGGAACGGAACAGCCAGAGAAAAAAGAAGATTGTGAGGTTAGTGGTTACCATTAGTCTTAAAGCTGATTTATATTATTGCTACAAAAAATATTTGAGGGGCATATTGTTGCTGCATCTGGTCATTTTATATTGAATTACATTTATTGCTATTTTTATATGCCCGAAAGGGCATATTATGTTATACCCCCTGGCGTCCGTCTGTCCGTCCGTCCGTCCGTCCGTCTGTCCGTCCGTCCGTCCGTACGTCCGTCCGTCCGTTAGCAATTTGGTTTCCGGAGCATAACTTAAGTTCCATTTGGCCCACAATGTTCAAACTTCATAGGATGATTGTCCATATTGGGTAGAAGACCCCTATTGATTTTGGGGTCAAAAGGTCAAAGGTCAAGGTCACTATGACCTTAAAACTGAAAACAGTTTCCGGAGCATAACTTAAGTTCCATTCGACCCACAATGTTCAAACTTCATAGGATGATTGTCCATATTGGGTTGAAGACCCCTATTGATTTTGGGGTCAAAAGGTCAAAGGTCAAGGTCACTATTACCTTGATACTGAAAACAGTTTCCGGAGCATAACTTAAGTTCCAATTGACCCACAATGTTCAAACTTGATAGGATGATTGTCCATAGCGGGTAGAAGACCCCTATTGATTTTGGGGTCAAAAGGTCAAAGGTCAAGGTCACTATGACCTTGATACTGGAAACAGTTTCCGGAGCATAACTTAAGTTCCAATTGACCCACAATATTCAAACTTCATAGGATAATTGGCCATATTGGATAGAAGACCCCTATTGATTTTGGGGTCACAAGGTCAAAGGTCAAGGTCACTATTACCTTGATACTGGAAACAGTTTCCAGAGCATAACTTAAGTTCCATTTGGCCCACAGTGTTCAAACTTCATAGAATGATTGTCCATATTGGGTAGATGACCCCTATTGATTTTGGGGTCAAAATGTCAAGGGTCAAGGCCACTATATCCTTAAAACTGAAAACAGTTTCCGGAGCTTAACTTAAGTTCCATTTGGCCCACAATATTCAAACTTCATAGGATGATTGTCCATATTGGGCAAAAGACCCCTATTGATTTTGGGGTCACAAGGTCAAAGGTCAAGGTCACAATTACCTTAAAACCAAAAACAATTTCCGGAGCATAACGTAAGTTCCATTTGGCCCGCAATATTCAAACTTCTTAGGATGATTGGCCATATTGGGTAGAAGACCCCTATTGATTTTGGGGTCACAAGGTCAAAGTCACTTTTACCTTAATACTGAAAACAGTTTCTAGAGCATAATCAAAGGTCCAATTGGCACACAATATTCAAACTTCTTAGGATGATTGTCCATATAAGGTAGAAGACTCCTAATGATTTTGGGGTCACAAGGTCAAAGGTTAAGGTCATTATAAATAACTTAAGTATTAATCAACCTACAGCTGTAAAATTTTATAGGATGAACAGCGAATTCCCATGTCTTACAAATGCTTCATCCTTACTAAAAAAAAAACACTTTCGGGCATATAATGCTCCGCCTAGCGGTGCTCTTGTTCTATTATGTCTGTGTTAAACTGCAGGGCTTTTTCTCACAGGTTGGGGAAGCAGATAAGGTTTATTTGCAAACAGGAAAAAAAACTTGATGTAAATTCAATTTTAGGGGAAAACTGCATTATTTTAAAGAAATTTTCTTTTGGGAAAGCCATTAAAAAGCTCCTGCTTTATAGACATGGGGGGGGGGGGGAAGCCTTGTAAAGATATAAATGACAGGGTAACATGACAATTTATATTTTACAGATTATCATGATGGTAGGATTGCCTGCCAGTGGAAAGACAACATGGGTCGATAAATACAACGAGGAAAATCCCAACGCTAAATTCAACATTCTTGGCACTAATTCTATCATTGATAAAATGAAGGTAAATTGAGTTGTATTCTTGCTGTGAATATAAAATTTCTTTTCAGGGACTGTTTGATGGGTGTGAAACTGTTTATTTTAAGGATAAAAAAAGCTGTAAATTGCAGATGCATTGTGATAATGGAAGAGGCATTCAATGTTATCTTATGTATTCTTTGATATGCCGATGGTGAAACTAAGCTATATTTTCTAGAAATATGAAATAAAGAAAGCTTATGAGAAATAAATCCTCGATAGGAAAATGGAAGCAAGTGCTGGTAAATTATAAAATATAAAAATGTTGCATTGTCTTAAGTTTCAAAATGCAGTGGATGGTGAAACAATCTGTGTTTGTAGATACTGAACAGATATTTTAATCAGCATGGAAAATATTGTTTTAAAGAAATCTTCTTAGTTGGAGAATTGTGTGTGTTGACATTTGATTCAGAAAGAGGTTTGTGTAGTTGGATTGGACATAGTTAGCAGGTTGGAGATTTATCCTCCTTATAACAGTTGCTTGTAGCAGTTGATTCATTTGAAAGGAGAGAAAAAAATTGTTGCTATAATTATGTTGGAAAATCCCTTCTCTCCCTTTGTTACAAAATAGACTTTTTTAGGAAGTTTGGAGATGATGGAAATTGTTGACCGGAAACATTATCATAAGATGTTAATGTTACTGTTTCTTGATAAAGAAATACTGTGTAAGAGTGCTCTTTTTGTGTCAAAATTTAAGTATAGAAAAAGTTATATAAGATATTAACACAAATGGTTTCTTTATGCAGATTTTCCTTGATTTCACTGACATAGTCAAGATTATCAGGTTAACCTAGAGGTAGGTGATAAACAAATAAGAGAATAATATAAAATTGATAGCTCTATTGAAATGCTTATTCTTTGCGAAAAAAACAAAACGTCTTTGTACGAAAATGTACATTGCATGTATATTAACTGCTTTTATATTAAATGAGGTGTGGTGACTACATTACATTAGGGTATAACTCCATGGATTGACAAGATAGATAATGTAAAAAAATATGAATTGTGCTATGTCAGCATGCAAGTTTCACTGAACTGTGATCTCACAAAAAGAAAACCATAAGAAAATGATGACATTAAAGGATTGGATGCATTTACCTACATACCTGTGTACAATATCCACTAGAAGCTGTAATATGACAACAGTAACATGAATTTGACTACAATCAGTGCGGATAGAAACATCTTTCAAATGAAAAGACATTGCAATAAATGTGATCAGCCTTATAAAAAATGTGAAATGCGACCACAGAACAAAGGAAAGCTTATGTTGGATTTAAGTCAGTGAGCTTGTTTTTATTGTTAGATTTGAGTTTTCTACCAATGTTTATTCAAATGTATATCCAATATCTCCCTATCATTATGATATTGAACTTCAGTGATGGGAATGATTTATATATAATATGGTGTATTTGAAAGTGTAAAGAATGTAAATAGATATGATGGTAAGATTTGTTTATGTTCCAGGTCATGGGTCTGCCGAGGAAACGTAACTATGCCGGCAGATGGGATGTTCTGATTGATAAAGCAACTAAATGTTTGAATCGTCTACTTGATATTGCTAGTAAGAGAAAGAGAAACTACATTCTAGATCAGGTATGTGTGATCTATTGTTGTTACTGGTCATCTTTGTTAAAAAATTTATGGAGTTGATATTGCTGTTTGTTCTTATATATTTGTCCTTGTCTAAGGACTTTGACAAAAGCTTGCCAGAGAAATTGTTACGGAGTTCCGACCAAAGGCTGCTTCCATAGCCACTGATTGGATGCAGAATTTGTGCTGTGTACACGTATTTAGGATCATCATATGATGAAAACTTAGTGTAAGTATTTAGATTGTTAACTGGATTCTGAGGTAAGGTAAGATTTTCAGATATAACTTGAGATGCCAGTTTATGTTTTGATCAAGGTAGGTAATGCAGGTGAGTTTTTCTTTTAATGTTCCTTTTCAGGAGTTAAGGATAGCCAACAACAGATTTTGAGGTAGGTTTATTACTTTACATTTTGTCTCAGAATGAGGTCACTGGTTCATTTAGGAGTAGGAACTCTTATTAGTGAAAGATGAAGGAAGAAGTAATGAATAGAAATGTTTTGGCTTGCTCTTTATTGACTTGCATCAAAGTTTATTATGAAAGTGTTTTATATAGTCATATGTTGATACTACTGTAAGAGTCACTTTAAATCCAAATTTATATGCACATTCACGTTTTGTTGAGTTACAAATAATTATACGTTAAAGTACATTATATATTTACTTTCATATTACATTCAGTAAGTTTCTTTGTTAAATTTTTAACGCTATCAAATCCCATCTCTTGGTAAAAATATTTCATTTTCATTACATGTCTAAACAACTGATTAACATTTTTGGAAGAAGTGTGTGTGCATTTTGGTTTAAAGTGATTCATTTGTGCACTGTAATAATACTTTATTTCAGCAATTGAATAAATCAACATTGGCAGTCTTAGACACAGAGAAACATGCAATTAGTGCATTTGTATGTCACATGACATATGCTATGCTTCAATACTGCTTCATTGGTTATAAAGCACATTGCATTTTTCAACTAGGCCATTTTCATGGAAGTTCAGAGGAGGTTCTAAAACCTAGAAAGAATTCATCCAGAGAAGATCTTTGTATAAAAAAAGGCATTTAGAGCACCATTAGTGAAAATGTGCATGCATGCATTGATTTGTTTCATGAGAAGTTTTTGCAAAAAAAATATATATCTGTATTCAAATTTGACTATATATTGTTATTGTGTATATGTTTGCCATGAAAAAACTCTGCTCACAGTTTGAAAAATATCTAAAACTGAGCATAAATTGGAGGAAAAATAAATATATTGGTTTCACCTTATGTTACTTGATTAGATATCTACCTGGATAAAAAAAGACCAGCACCAAAACTGAAAAGTCAACAGTTGAAGCAACAAAGTTAAGTCATTCCAAAGCTGGAACTGACATTTTAGATATTTTTATTTTAGAACATTGAATATATAAATGCAATGTCTCATTTATAGCTTGTTGGTTCCACGAAAAAAAGTCGGAACTATTATGATTTCTGGGTTGTAATTGTCACAGCGCAAAAACTTTCATGTAGTTCACTACTCTGTCATATACTTAAAAAAAATAATCAACATGAAACTTGCACTACTTGCTTTTATGGACAAGGCAGTTGTAAGTCAAGTGGAATTTTTCTGAAAGCTGTCTGGGAGTTATACCCCCTTTTGACCAAATTGCTTATAAAATGCAATATGTTGAAAACTGTTGCCTCAAACATTGAATACATGATTTTTAGCTCTACAGCAAATGAGCCTTGGTACCACATGTTATTCTCTTTTTTAATATTTTGCATTGTGAATATACTTGTATATACATGTGTTAAAATTAATGAGAGAGGAGCACTGTCTGTAGAGGAGCTTGCATTCAGTGAAAGAAAGGTTGCTACGCCAGAAGGTATTTTATATGATAAAATATGATTTATACATTATTAAAACATTTTAATTGCAAAGGTTATGCACTTTCTGAAACATTTTTTGTTGTATTATTGATGAATTGTATTGTTTGTTGTTAGAATTATTGTCATTTTGATGCAAGTCGATTATAAGCAAGCCCAAAGATTTCAGTACATTCATTAAAGGTGAGTTTGCGAAAATTTTCTTCTTGATGGCTGAGCTCATAGGTTGAACGTTTACATGCTGTAAAAACAGCACCCTGTTGCTTTTTGATACTCACATATGAGTGTGAACTTATTTATGTCCGTTGTTGATTGTTTAATCTGAGAAGTCATTTTCAGGGCCACTGATAGGTGAGTACGGATATGGCTGAAACGAGCCGAGTAGACAGTGTGTAGTCCTTGTATATAATATGCACACCAATTAATGACATGCCATTTTATTGGACTATATTGCAGATATTCACTAGTTAAGACTGCATAGTTTAGTGCTTGTTTGATGAAGTATATATATTTTTATGACATTCTCCAAGTGCGATTGTCTTGGAGGGATGTCACTCATGGCAGTTTGTATGTCTGTGGAACCGTGATAACTAAAACGCAAATATTTGTTCTCTGCCATGCTAGACCAATGTGTATGCATCAGCTAGAAGACGTAAAATGCAGCCATTTGAAGGCTTCTCAAGGCGAGCAGTTGTTATTGTACCTGATGATGAAACATACAAAGAACGGTTTGAGGCTCAACAAAAAGTGGAAGGAAAGGAAGTGCCAGAAAGCGCTATATATGAAATGAAAGGTAGGGCAAGACACGACTATTGTAGCCTTCTTGTACTCGCACACCACATGTTTTACAACCTTTCATTGCTATTTCATTAATTTTATGTTGATTGTCTGTTGATGCTATGTACAAATGTATATTACAACCACATTTTCTTTGAAGTTTTACAAAAAAAACTTATTTTATTTTCACTCTTTTTGGATTTGTATGACGGGAAATTGGGTTTGCCTGGGGGGAAAAAAGCTGTGCTAAATATGGTGTTTATTAGAGAAAATGTGGTTGAACCAGATGGTTTAAACTTCTGGTTTTTCCGTTGGATCACTATTCTGGTGCCTGTTATTCATTAATTTTGATGGGAATTTTCAGCAAATTTTACGGTACCTGATGTTGGTATGCTGTTCGATGAGGTAGAGTTTACTGAGCTCCAAAGGTCTGAAGCAGAGACTTTAGTAGAGCAGTATAGAGAAGAGGGACAGAAAAATCTGCCCCCTCCACCTCCCCCCTCCCCTCCAGAGAAGAGATTTAGAGACGAAAGGGGCGGAAGAGATAGAAGTAAGTCTTTGGTTTCTTCAAATTGAATTATCTCTATGTTATGTTTTGACATAACAAGTACACAAATACGTCCTCAGAATATTATGTCAGGCTCATGCTTATATTGGAGTTAACATTCTTGCGGTATGGATTGGCCTGTTATTTTGTCCACACAGCTGCAGATTTACAAATGAGATACTTCAAGCCAATGTTATCTTTTAGCAGTGATTGTCTGAAATATTCTTGAAAAATATCACTTGGCTTAACCAGGCTCTTTAGACTTTGTCTTCTATGATAAAATTTATTTAGATGAAATATTTGCTGGAAATTTATTGGTTTATTTGTATTGAAATATGACGTTGATAAGGTTTTCCTTTAAATTCAATGATATGGTTTTGGTGGTCTCTGAATATATTGGTCATAGTTTTAACATTAATTCTTCAAGTTTTAACATATTGCTAGATTGTATAACAATTCTACTTCCTAGAACTTGACCAGTCCTTGTGACATTATGACATTATTATTGTAACCTATAATTGGTGGGTTGATAGGAAGACATCCTGACCATTATGGCAGTGTTCCTAATTTGAGCCATGTCACGACAAAACCAACGTAATGCATTTGCGACCAGCATGGATCCAGACCAGTCTGCGCATCCATGCAGTCTGATCAGGATCCATGCTGTTCGCTATCAGTTTCTCTACTTGTAATAGGGTTTGTAAGCGAACAGCATGGATCCTGATCAGACTGCGCGGATGCGCAGGCTGGTCTGGATCTATGCTGGTCGCAAACGCATTACGTTGGTTTTGTCGTGACGAGGCTCATTTTAAGAATGCATGCATTGATAGAAGGCATTGAATAAACAAGGGATCTTTTGTTTCTAAGAAGAAGGTGGATTTGGAAGAGATAGAGATCGTCGAAGTGGAGGCAGTCGTTGGTCTGGCGGTGGTGGTGGTGGCAGCAGCGGCAGTGGTGGTAGTGGTGGAGGAGGAGGAGGAAGTAGATGGGGTGGTGGCGGTGGTGGTGGAGGTAGAGATCGTGGAGGCGGTGGTGGTGGTAGAGACAGATGGGGAAGTGGAGGAAGTGGTGGTAGAGACGGTGGTGGTGGACGCTTCGGTGGTGGTGGTGGCGGCGGAAGTCGTTGGGGTGGTGGTGGTGGCGGCGGAGGAGGAGGTGCTGGTGGTGGAAGATGGGGAGGAGGTGGAGGTGGAGGTAAGTTTGACATGTTTTCACATTTGTCAATAAGTATTATTAAATGCACGATAAACCACAGTTATGAATATGATTCGTCCTTTGAAAGGAGAATAAACCTGTGTTTATAATGTTTTAATAATTAATTTTGACCATGTATGATACTTACTTAAAATTATTTGTTATGAAAGTAGCTAAAGTGTTTTTTGTCTAAGGCTGAAAAGTAAAAAAAATCAAACAAAACATTGTTCAGTTATATGGCCACTTGATACCATTTTAGAAACTGTAACAGTGCACAGTAAAAAGAAATATCTTTAAAAATGAAAATTATAACCATTTTGGGAGCCATTTTGTAAATGATAATCTTAATATCATCAAAGTGATAGTTGTTGTAGAAGACATTTAATATGTGAGATTACAAATTCATAATTATGGTAGATTAAAAAAAAAGCAGAAGAAAAACAAATATATATTAGTTAGTAAACAGATGATGGATGAATTGAAAGAATATAATGTTTTGTTTCATGAATTTGTCCTTTATGTATATTCTATATATATTGTATAATTCTAGGTGGCCGCAATGATCGTAGTGGTGGTGGTGGTAGACAGGGAGGAGGTGGAGGAGATCGTAACAGAGACCGCTGGGGTGGTGGAGGCGGTGGTGGTGGTGGTGGACGTGATGAACGTGGTGGTGGTGGCGGAGGTGGTAGATTTGATAGAGACAGGGTATGTAAATAATTTTTATTGCTCTTTTTAGTTAAGAAATCTGTTTTAAAAGAGGGTATTGTAAAGTTTTGTTTCAAAAGTATGTATTGAAATAATAGTTGGCCTCAAGGCATATCTGTAAATTTCGGTGACTAGTAGTAGTAAAGTTAAGAATCAGAATTGTTTACATGGAGTTCATTTATATGTTTCTTTGATTATTTTCAGTTATAATGTTTATTTTCTGTTATAGAGGAGTGGAAGTAGTGGAGGGGGAGGAGGTGGTGGTGGTTATGGAGATAGACAGAGAGGTTACGGTGGCAGCGGTGGTGGTGGTGGCGCCGCAGGCGGTGGTTATGGCGGTGATAGAGGATATAACAAGGGTAACCAAGGTGGCGGTGGCGGAGGTCGTAGTGGTGGAGGTGGGGCAGGTTATAACAAGGGTAGCGGTGGTAAAGTGGTGGTGGCAGCGGGGGTAACTATGGATCTGGTGGCAGCTATAATCAAGGCAGTGGTGGGAGTAGTGGTGGTATGCAGAGTTATAACACTCAAGGTGGTACTGGGTACAATCAAAGCAGCTGGGGTAATCAGACTCCGGGTCAGCAAGGTCAACAACAAGCCTGGGGTCAACAAGGCTGGGGCGGTCAGGGACAGCAACAGGGCTGGGGAACTCAGGGCTATGGACAGGTGAGCCATTTTGTTTGTAATGCAGTTAAGTTTGTAAAATAATAAAATTTCTAGATCTGTCTGTAGAAGTAAAAGGACTTGATTTTATAATGATCAGCTTTACTCACTGTTCTTAATTATCATATAGATGAACACTGATTTCAGTTTCAGCTATTTAGTACAAATTTATGAAGGTGTGTTATTTATTAAGAAGAAAGCTATTTTGCTGTTTTCTAATTAATTTGTATTTAGGGCTAATGATTTGTTTGATATTTTAATTCTGATGATCAAGAATCTTCAGAAAGGTTGAGGAGGAAACTTACATAGTTTATTCTGTACTTGGAAATAATAGTGGATAGTTACTTATCTATTTAAGATTAGATTCTGGTAATATTTCTATGGTTTTCAGCTATAAATGAAATGGGTGTGTTAAGCAGATTTGTTCATGTGAAGAAAGTAAACCAAACATTATCCAGTATTAAAAATATGCTTATCAAATATATTACAGTGGGGTTATGGCCAACAACAACAGGGAACCGATCCATCTCAGTCGGCACAGGCTTACAATGCTGCAGCATGGGGAGCATACAATACCGGTACCTGGCCTAATTGGAACCCGCAGTATAATCAGCAATATCAACAATGGTACGGTCAGCAGGCTGCCGGACAGTATCCACAGACTGGTACCGCTACAGGCACTGGCACTACTACCACCGGAACTACTGGGGGAACTAGCACGGGGGGAGCATCATAAACTGTTAAAATATTGACTGTTAATATAAAATGTTGATAGTAAAGACTCTTGTCCATATAATGACTTTGTTTGACTAGATCTTCTGTTAATTTTTTAAAGAAAAAGAAGAATGCTGGTTTCAGGGCCTGTAGAAAGTTACAGAGATCAGTCAATGGATATGCTCATTGTCAAGATCATTGAAGTGATTCAAATTAAAACAATTCAAGGCAATGTGTGCTTTTATGTCTTAGAACTTGCTATAGAATGTTTTGATACTATTGAATTGTAACTGGCAGATAGGATTTGTTAATGGTGATGAATAGATTGTCAATGGTAATCTTTATTTAGAGAGAAAGGAAAAACATGCTATTGTGTTCAGATAAATTGAGATTTTTTTATAAATTTCTTTTTTTGGGGGGCTTTGAAAAGGTTAAAATAAATGAGAACGAGGGAAGCAGTTTTGATTGATTTTTTTTTATGCAATGTATTTTAGCCATGTAAGTTTTGCTATGATTTAGAGCTTTTGTTCTATATGTTGCCACTTCTGCTGAAAGTCTATCACTGTTATGAAAAAAGCAAGATATTTTACCTTACATCACGTGTATATACTCATTGTATTATTCCATTGTTTCATTTAAATTTTTGTGGTCAAATTTGCATTTTTTTTCTGTCAAAAAATATTTTGCAAAATGTCATTATGTGCATAAAAATTGTTAATCAAATATAGTTGGAAGCAATTTTCTTCATGGTTTAATACGTCATTCCATATAATGTGAAGAAAAAATGATTTTAAAATTGTTGTAAATGTTCAGATTTTGTAAAAAGTGCATTACATATTGTTTTACAAGTAAAGATTTCATTTATACAGTAGTTGTTTTTTTTCTTTCAAAATACATTCCTGCATTTGAAAAGAATAAATCTTTGTAGTCAAGTGTGCAATTGCCCCTCTTCTCAGTACTTATGTTGAATTTCAAGAGAAGTTACGCAGCCAGTTTGTAAGGGTGCAGATCCTTTGCCTGATGTAATGATTCTGTTTTACTCAATCAGTCATTAAAACTAGCCACATAGCTGAACAGTGCTACTTAATAGCATCCCCCCCCCTCCCCCTATATAAAAATTGGAATGATGCGAAATATTGAGTGATCATAAGATCAGATATAGATAGGCTAGTAAAAGAACTAGCTCTACATTTGCTTGTATTATCATGTGACCTCATAGGTGCCTGATCCTTAAAATATAACTGAAAGGTTACAGCTGTGTCAGTGAGTGATTTAGATCCACTTTCCCCTTACTGCTGTGTGTTGGAATACTGCCAAGGACTGGATTCTTCATGTGAGGTTATCCAGCTAGCTCATGGAATGTCTGGTTCTACTCTTGTTGCCTGCTATTATCTGAAATAGGGGGCACCGGAGGTCTTCCTACACCCATAAAGCAGGAATATTCTAAGGTCCTGTATGATTTACATGGTAGGTGCCACTATAAACCCAATACAAAAGATACCCCACCTCCAATTGTAATCTAATCTAATTTATCTTGCATCTGTTGTAGCATACTTGAAGCATTACAGCAGTAAGGTCACTGTTAAGGTCCATGCACATCTAGCCTATTCAGACTAGTTATATGGGGCGTCCGTGGCTGAGTGATGTGATGAAGCTATCCAGCTAGCTTACGGAACGTCGGTGATTCAACTCGGGTTCCCGTTCGTGCCTGAAATAATGCACGGAGAGCACCTGAGGTCTTCCTCAACCAGTAAAGCTGGAAAGTCGCCATATGACCTGTGTTGGTGTGACGTAAAACCCATTTAAACAAACAGACAAGTTGAGATATGAGAGTACCTGGCTACCCACTAACAGCTAGCAGTTCAGCATGCTCGGATTAAGATACACTGGTGAACAAACCTGTTATGAAATAAATTTATCTCGAGTTAACTAGTGATTAGTACAGGACAAGAAGACATGGAAAGTCCTAAATCTTTGACATTACTTCTCTTCATTCAGTTGTGTTTATGAACCTGCAAGGGTCTGCCAGTATGTGAGCTACCCAAAATGGAGCGACATCTGCATATAAAATATATACCCAGACTTGAGACGAAAAAAACCCAAAGAAACATTCCAAATGCTATTACATTGAGGCTTATAAACTGGATATTGCCAATTTCTTGGTGGATGACCACTCGAATAAAATTAATTCTAACTTTATTCATACCATTTTTGTGCCTGTATAAAAACCACTTATCTGATAGTGAATTTGCTCAAATAAATTCAGACTTCTGTTATATATAGGTAAGGGGCTGATGGTTGAATGTTACAGAAATTACTATGAAAAATGTTTTGGATTTCTGAGGAAAACAGTTACAAATAACAATACAACAAATATTTGTTTTTAGCTGTTGATGATTAAGGAAGCTCACCTGTATGATATAAAAGGAAGGTATCTTAATATAGAATCATATAGCCTATAATAACTATTGTTGGTTGTAGCGTTATATCTAAATCAAGCAGCATTTTCTCTAAATTAAGTTAATTTTTTTCTTTTGCTATGCATTATTTATGATAAATAATCTATACAAGAAAGAAAAGATTGTCACAAATATACTGATTGAGTAACCGCAGATATTGTCTAAATGAAACAAAAAATTTAAGCTGCTATTTCAATTAAAGCTGCTGTTTCAGAGCATACTGGTGTTCTTAATCAATCAAAAACAGTGTTTTATTAGATGAATAATTTTTTCTGAAAAAATAACAGTGGAACATATGGTAGATATTATTTCAATATTACAAGTTAAGTTAGACATGAATCTTTCTCCCTGCAGGAATGGTTGTAAAGAAAAATATCTAGCATTAGTCAAGTTAGTTTATTTTTAAACAATGTAAAAACAGAGGATTTTGTGGATTTTTTTTTATAACTTAATTATCTTTTAATATATATTCATCTTTAAACTGGTTCTGGCTTTCATTGTTCTGTCTGAATAAATATTTAGGTATGCATAATTTCTTTATAGTACAATATAAGCAAATTTCTTTCTACTTGTACTTTTTTGTTGGTTAATGACTTATTTGCCCTAAGTAGTACTAAACACTCGGGCAGGGGAGAATATTCAACAGTGAATAATGATATGATACAACAAACAATTATATTTTATTATACAAAATTTACTAGTATTCTTTAATGTTAACAAGTGTCTGGACCTGCCAGAAATGTTTAATTAGACCCATTGTCAAAATATTTCTTGAATAAATTGTATAATAATGTCTTTTCCTTGCTTTAATATTGTCCTTGACATGAAAAATCACAAATTTTAATTTTTGTATCCTTAAAACAAAAGAGATTAATTTCTAAGTAAGCTAAATAATGTCTACAATTGAGTCACAGAATTTTCAGCAGCAAGGTCTTGTGGAATATTTTTTTTTTGTTAGTAAATCTTTTTTCTTCAGATATTTACATTTTTTGTTAAACAATTTACAAATTATTAGAAAAGAAGAAAATGTGAGGAAAATACAACCCAATCATACAACACGATTACAACCAATATTACAATCTTAAATCTGATTATAAAAGATGTTAAAACTGAACTTTTAGATTTTTTTTCTGATTAAACAATTTGAAATACAAATTACGGTTACTTGACTGTATTATTTGATTGTTTTTTAATCAATTTCACATTCAGTGTTATAAAACAATATTAATGATTTTTTTTCTTCCATAAAAAAACAAAAACATCACAAAATGTAACATTATTCATATCCATATCCTTGTTCTTATTTCTCACATTCATGTTAACAACCTTTCAAAACTTTTGAAAAAAAGGTAATATTAATATAATAATATACAAAATCATAGGCATATACATATTCCCTTTTTTTTTTCATATTTCTTTTTTGTGGAAAAAATTAAAAGAAGCTTAACTCGGAATGATTCTATGTGGTAATTTTAACATCATGTAAATTCATGTAGTTATTTTCCAACCAAACAATCATCTGCTACATCTAATTATGGTCAGTTTAGAATAAAATTTATCTCCAATCCAAATCTGGCATCAAAATAATCAGAATGACAAATCAAAATATCCATACATATAAAATATCACAGATAAATCCAGAGCAGATAATTTTCTACCATATCATACACACACAAATAAACTATTCTCTCTAGACAAAAACATGTTCATTGTAAATGTTAACCAGTTATATACCCTTTTTTGCAATTTACATACAGGAGAACTGAATTTTTTAAAACTTCTGTTCTATTGAAAATAAACATATATAAAAAATGGTACATGCATATCTACAATATTGTTAAGCAGAAAGTTAAATGCGCTAGAGCATTTCATGTTCCTGTAATCAGTTTATAAATATTCACAAAATTAGAACAGGTAGGTATATAAATTGAAAAAAATATTTAGTTCATTTCAGAAGGAAGTGGAGTAAAATTATTTCTTTATATGTGAAACTGGATCTGAAAACTTTACCACTGGTTAAATAGATAAGTAAAAAAATATAAGTGAAATAAAGTAAAACAAGATTGCATTTGATAAAAATGCTATGCCACCGCATGGTTCAAATTTCATAGCTGTACACCAAAGGACAAGAAAGTAGGTCACATCATCAAAATCTAGGTCACCTGATATCAAAGTTCAATTTTACAACTAAAACTGTGCACATGGTCAAAATGTCATTGCTGTACATCAAAGGACAAGAAAGTAGGTCACTGTCCCCTTGGGCAAGGCATAATTTTGACCCAAGGGTTTAATTCAAAACAATTTTGATACAGGTCCACCAAACAACATTTCAAGTCAAATATCTAAGCTATAGCTTTCTCCCATTCAGAAAACATTTGTTTTATTTTCTGTTTTTACTATGTGTACATAATGAGAATCACTGCCTCCGGGCAGGGCCAATTTTGACACCAGGGGAAAATTTTGAACAACTTTGGTAGAGGACCTATAAATGATATTATATATCAAACATCAAAGCTCTATGCCTTGTACCTTCAGACAAAAATATTTTTTATTTTTTCACTACATGTACATAATGAAAATCAATGACCCCCGGGGCGGAACCAATTTTGACCCAAGGGCTATAATTTGAACAATCTTGCCAGAGGTTCACTACACAATGTTTCATGCAAAATATCTTAACTCTAGCCTTGTAAATTTAGAGAAGATGATTTTTTAAGTTTGTACTATATACATATAAGGAAAACCTATGGCCACCAGGGGGCGGGGCTAATTTTGACACAAGAGGCAAAATTTGAATAAATTTTGTAGAGTACCTTCAGATGATATAATTTAACAAATATTAAAGCTCTAAGCCTTGTACCTTCAGACAATAAGATTTATTTATTTTTTACTATATGTATATATTGAAATCAATGACCCCAAGGGCGGGGGCAATTTTGACCCCAGGGCTATAATTTGAACAATCTTGCTAGAGGTTTACTACACAATGTTTCATGCAAAATATCTAACCTCTAGCATTTGTCAATTGCTAGATGAATTTTTTTTGAAGTTTTTACTATTACTATAAGTTTTTACTATATACATATAAGGAAAACCAATGACCCCCGGGGCGGGGCCGATTTTGACCCCAGGGCTATAATTTGAACAATCTGGGTAGAGGTCTACCAGACAATGCCTTACGCAAAATATATAAGCTCTAGGCCTTTTGGGTCTTTACAAGAAGGTGTTTTAAGTTTTTACTATATGTACATATAGTGAAATTCAATGACCCCGGGGCGGGGCCGATTTTGACCCAAGGGCTATAATTTGAACAATCTTGGTAAGGGTCTACCAGAAGATGCCTTATGCAAAATATCTAAGCTCTAGGCCTTTTGGGTTTTTACAAGAAGGTATTTTAAGTTTTTACTATATGTACATAGTGAAAATCAATGACCCTCGGGGCGGGGCCAATTTTGACCCCAGGGCTATAATTTGAACAATCTTGTTAGAGGTCTACCAGACAATGCCTTATGCAAAATATCTAAGCTCTAGGCCTTTTGGGTCTTTACAAGAAGATTTTTTAAATTTATTCTTATAATTCCTTTTGGTTGCCATGGCAACCAGATTTCTGCATGGAATGAAATTCTTTGAATAACTTTGGAAGCCCTTCACCCAAGGAACAATCCTGCCAAGTTTGGTTGAAATTGGACTAGTGGTTTTTCACAAGAAGATTTTTTAAGTTCACTATATAATCTATATAACACACACACAAACACACACACAAACACACACACACACAGGTGAATCGCTATATGCCACCGCATCGCAGATGCTGCGGTGGCATAAAAATTACTACAAAAGAAAACAAGGAAAATTTCACTGTAAATCAGATCTTTATGGAAAACATTAAGAAAACAAGATTGCATTTGAGAAAAATGCTATGCCACCGCAATGTTCAAATTTCATAGCTGTACATCAAAGGACAAGAAAGTAGGTCACATCATCAAAATCTAGGTCACCTGATATCAAAGTTCAATTTTACAACTAAAACTGTGCACATGGTCAAAATGTCATTGCTGTACATTAAAGGACAAGAAAGTAGGTCACTGTCCCCTTGGGCAAGGCATAATTTTGACCCAAGGGTTTAATTCAAAACAATCTTGATTCAGGTCCACCAAACAACATTTCAAGTCAAATATCTAAGCTATAGCTTTCTCCCATTCAGAAAACATTTGTTTTATTTTCTGTTTTTACTATGTGTACATAATGAGAATCACTGCCCCCGGGCAGGGCCAATTTTGACACCAGGGGAAAAATTTGAACAACTTTGGTAGAGGACCTATAAATGATATTATATATCAAACATCAAAGCTCTATGCCTTGTACCTTCAGACAAAAATATTTTTTTATTTTTTCACTATATGTACATAATGAACATCAATGACCCCCGGGGCAGAACCAATTTTGACCCCAGGGCTATAATTTTAACAATCTTGCAAGAGGTTCACTACACAATGTTTCATGCAAAATATCTTAACTCTAGCCTTTGTAAATTTAGGGGCTAATTTTGACACAAGAGACTAAATTTGAACAACTTTTGTAGAGTACCTTAAGATGATATTATTTAACAAATATTAAAGCTCTAAGCCTTGTACCTTCAGACAATAAGATCTTTTGATTTTTTACTATATGTATATATTGAAATCAATGACCCCAGGGCGGGGGGCAATTTTGACCCCAGGGCTATAATTTGAACAATCTTGCTAGAGGTTTACTACACAATGTTTCATGCAAAATATCTAACCTCTAGCATTTGTCAATTGCTAGAAGAATTTTTTTGAAGTTTTTACTATATACATATAATATAGCATAATGGAAAACCAATGACCACCGGGGCGGGCCGATTTTGACCCCAGGGCTATAATTTGAACAATCTGGGTAGAGGTCTACCAGACAATGCCTTATGCAAAATATCTAAGCTCTAGGCCTTTTGGGTCTTTACAAGACGGTGTTTTAAGTTTTTTCTATATGTACACATAGTGAAAATTAATGACCCCGGGGCGGGGCCGATTTTGACCCAAGGGCTATAATTTGAACAATCTTGGTAAGGGTCTACCAGACGATGCCTTATGCAAAATATCTAAGCTCTAGGCCTTTTGGGTCTTTACAAGAAGGTATTTTAAGTTTTTACTATAAGTACATAGTGAAAATCAATGACCCCCGGGGAGGGGCCAATTTTCACCCCAGGGCTATAATTTGAACAATCTTGTTAGAGGTCTACCAGACAATGCCTTATGCAAAATATCTAAGCTCTAGGCCTTTTGGGTCTTTACAAGAAGATTTTTTAAATTTATTCTTATAATTCCTTTTGGTTGCCATGGCAACCAGATTTCTGCATGGAATTAAATTCTTTGAACAACTTTGGAAGCCCTTCACCCAAGGAACAATTCTGCCAAGTTTGGTTGAAATTGGACCAGTGGTTTTTCACAAGAAGATTTTTTAAGTTCACTATATAATCTATATAACACACACACAAACACACACACAAACACACGCACACACACACAGGTGAATCGCTATATGCCACCGCATCGCAGATGCTGCGGTGGCATAAAAAGATCACTATCAAATCCACACCACCTTTATAACAAAAACCTACAGAAATACATATACATGAATTTATCAAAATGAGAATAATTCCAACCTTAGTGCAATAACTGGTTAACTCCTATTAAATTTAGAAGAACTTATTCCATTACTGCACTAAGGTGACCTGATGTAATAAGTCAGAAACATCAGATCTACCATAATAAACAATCAATAAACATACACAAACTTGACTTTGAAAATCCTCAACTGTACAAGCAGCCATTTTTGGGCTCAAGTATGTTCAGATGATGAAACAAATATCAAAACATGTTATGGATACAAAAGACCATCAAATTACAAAATCACTTCTATAAAATATCACAATTGTTATACATGTATATATTGGAAAAATTCAATTAAACATTCAATTAAACATTATTTTTGTACCTACATTTAGTAAAGAAAAAAGTTACAATAAATTTGAATGAAACTTATGTCTGGATAAAAATGCATATGGTCAGCAGAGGATTATGTGATCAGCAGGTAAAGGAAAATTCTAAAAAGTCATATATATAACAGTGACCAATGAAAAGAGCTGTACTATCAGCCATCATTTTGATCAATCACACAGCATCCAATGAGAATTACCATACCATCAGTCATCATGTAATCAATCAACAAACATGTACATTCAATTAGTTCACCACAGCAGACGTACACATTGTGTTAAGACCACAAACACCATCTCCTCTGTACACCAAGTAGTAACCCTGAAATAACATTTTAAGTATCTTGACTGCCGAAAACTGTAACAATATATCCTTTACGTCTGAATTCATTCAACAAAACTTTAATATAAAATACTATGTAGTGTACCTTTCTTATTTAATGTCAATTTCATCATTTTTTCCTGAAGCTATCCAGCTAGCTTATGGAAGGGAGGCCATTCACTGGTGTCTGAAATAATGCATGAAGGGGCACCAAAGGTCTTCCTACACAAGTAAAGCTGGAAAGTCCCCATATAACTGTTGTAGGGTCCATGCCACTTAAAAATTATGTGGGAAGATAACTCCTCTGTGCTTACATTTGCTAACTTTAAAGAGTTTCTTCCCTTACATCAATACTGCTTCAAAGCATAGCCCTACATAAATTCTAATCAGGTTTTAGATAAGTGATCCACTGATAAGTACTGACACTGACATATCAGTCAGTGACTTCAATTTGTCATACTTTCTAAAATAAGACAGAGTATGTAAGGTGAATGACTTACCTTTTCACCCCAGTCTGGTCCCCAACTGTTCTTAACTATCCAATAAGGCTTATTGTCCTCTGTCAAAAAGAAATAATGTTAAATATTTAACTGCACATTCTAACAATGCTAAAACATATACAAAGTCACTGTAAACAGAGCATTTTTTTGACAAATTTATTTTCAAAAGAATAAACCTATGAGCCAATTAAGTATATAGGTATGCATTCATTTTTAAATAGTTAAAAATGAGAGTTATTGTGATGACAATTGGGAAAGTCAAGTTGAGCACTTTTGGTACATTACTATAACTTACATCTTAGAGCCCTTGTAGCAATTATAATAAGAAATTTATACATCTAGAGCCAAGTAAGTCTGAAAATCCATGAATTCTGACAAGTGTCCATTAATGCTGACAAGTGTCCATAATTAATGTTTACTACAAATTGCAGGTAAAACCCCTGTCACACTAGGACGGCGTTCTCACGGCGTCCAAAGAAAATTCAGAACGCCAAGGTGAGCGCAGTAAGATCGCAAACATCGCCACAGCATCGCCGTAGCATCGTAGTGGCATCGCATAGAACGCCGACCAACGGCGCGCATTTTGAACATGATCAAAACAAACGCCGTCACTCGGCGTTCTAAAATGAGCGCAGTAGCATCGCAGTAAGGACGCCGTAGCAACCCAGTAGCATCTCCTACAACGCAACAGGAGCGCTGCGAAAGCGCAAAAGGAACGCCGAATGAACGCCGTGGTTATCAACGGCGCTTGTACGGAGACTGTGCGACGTCTTTACCGCGCTTAAACTGCGTGTGCACGACGCTTTTACGGAGCTTTAAGATTTCAACGAAGTGTGAGCGCCACGAGAGCGTCGTATGAGCGCCATAAATGCGCAGTGAAAGCGCAAAGAACGTCATAGAAGCGCAGTCCGAACGTAGACAATCGCCAACTAAAACGCCGTCGAAGCTCCGTAGCATCGCCATGATCGCCGTGAGGACGCCGTGAAGACGCCGTGAAGTCTTCATGACATCAACAATATCACATTTTTTATTGCGACCTCGCGGCGCTTTGTAAAATTAAACAACGCCGTGCGAACGCAGTGAAAGCGCATTCTAGTGTGACAGGGCCTTAATTTGATATTGAAATACTTTTTACTGAAAATGGACGGTTCCATCTTCATAGCAAGGTAAGTCCATTTCTCTATTTCAGGCAGGTAAGTATTAATATAACATTGTGTAAAATAATTTGGCTTTGAAAGGTCTTTTTCTCTTCAAATTTGTACCTGAAAGGGCTGACAAGAAACAAAGTTAAACTTACGAACTCCATATCCCACAATCAACACGCCATGGTCAAGATTTTTTGGGTTACAGAATATCTTCCAGGGATGAGAGATTCCTCCCATATAAAACTACAAGATAAAATATGCTAGCTGTAAAACCATGTATGATGCATTAACAAGTCTTTCTAACAATCTGATTAACGTTTTAAAATATTGTATAAGTTACTAGATACCAAGATATACATATAAATATCTCATGTTTTTAATTTTGATTATTTAATCGTTATTAACTAACTTGTTTTAAACTGAAGGAATTTTTTTCAAACCTATTACAATAATCATTAAAATGAATTACACCACATATGCTGAACAATCTTATACATCAAAAATTACTTTTCATTTTTGTAAGGTTATTTCTTGACATGTATGTTTACAGTTTTTTTTTTACAATGTGAAATCTATGGGAGTGTATGTGCACCATGAAAGACTGTTCTTTTCCAAAAATCTCTGTCAATCTCACTTAAGTATATAAATTACATCCTTTATTCAAATAATTAATATAACATACCTGCATAGCAAAGGCATTGATACCAATAGAGATTGGTCCGTTTGCAGCCAGCCACGATGCCATCTCTGTCAAAAAAATACACAGAAAATATGTATTTATTTATTTACAATATTTTCTTCAATTTCCAAAACTTCAATTAACATCATACAAAAAAAATTACATGGGCTATATAAATACTCCCTTGAATAGAAAATTATCTAAAATGCTTAACTTATGTATTACATTTAACCCCAACTCTGCTGGGAGCTGCTCAGCAACAGTGAATAAGCTTTGCCACCAATATCGAGCCAGGCCAGCTTGCACATCTAAGCAGTCTGACCAGGCTCTTTTCTGCATATGTATTGGTAACTCAATTTTTGTACTTTGATATTGAAATCTCTTAACTTTCACATAGACTGATCAAATTCAAAGCAGAACAAATCCATTAAACAAATTCAGCTAGTGAAATGTTAAGGTATGTGAAATCTAGAGGTAGTTAAGTAGATATTTCATAATGAAACAATATGACTATAATAATATATTGGTTAGTGTAAGGAAAAAAATATTGTCAAAATGTATATTTGAGACCTGTGTTGAGGTTAAGGTCATATTTTTCATATTTACAAGTGTTCCTGGGATTCTATACAAGTACAATAATTTTGCACTGTTCTAATAATTGCCAATTACTCCACACAAATCATTTGAACAACATTCTTGTCACATATTATCAACAACTAAATAATCAACAAAAACATGAGCGAGACTCTAGACTTGAATCCATAAATAAAGGGCTTAACATTCTTCCTTTGTTACACTGACAGACATTAAGATGAAGAAAATTTTACCTGCTTCATCTGATGATATAGAAACTGAATCATTGATGTAAACTTTCACATCTTTCTTCTTGAAGACACATTTCTCATCTTCACCCTTGTAGGAATAGTCAGCCTCAGTTTCAAGACCACCTACAATAAAACAATATATTGTAATGTGTGTTACTTCCCTTTGCTTTCATACCTCCATTTGTATTCAATATATACAGGTTACTTCCCTTTGCTTTTAATTAATTGTAAAATAGTAAAGTATTGCAATACTGGTTACTTCCCTTTGCTTTCATAACATCACTTACATTTATTGATCTTACCCATTTTTCTGCTGTTGATGAATTCAAGGACAACAACTACAGCAGAGGATGCATAAACATAGAAATGTATGTCATTACAAAATATTCATACCAAGTCTCTCTATCTCCTTGTATGCCTGAGATGGTAACCCTCCATTACAGCCTTCATCAACCTTGTCACAGTCTACAAGCTCTGAAAATATACGAACATAGATTTGTTACAGTCTAACAGCTTCAGCAGAATAGGCAAATAGTTTGGTTACAGTCTTACAGCTTTATTTGTAAAGGAAAATAGTTCTGTCACAGTCTTACAGGAAAATAGTTTGGAAATAGGAACATCACAATAAACACAAGATAATAGTTTTATCAGAGAAAATTTCACAGTCTTTCAGATCCTAAGATAAAGGAGAATTAAGCTTTAGAAATAAAGAATAGCTTTGTCATATTCTTACAAACAACTCTAGTTTTACTACAGTCAAATCAGAAAATACAAAACACTATTTTACATCATCATAAATTACAGTCTAAATGACACAAAAACCAAAGTACAAAAATTGATGAACCTTGACCAATCCACTCAGCTAATTGTTTATTAAAAATGTACAATGAGTGGTATAGTTTAGTGACAGGGGTTAATATCCAAATAATCAAGAAGTTAACAAGAGGGCCATGATGGCCCTGAGGTCGCTCACCTGTATATAGGCCCTCCACCCCCGGGCCAATTTTTACCCAAGGGCTTTTATTTGTTTATTTGAACAGACTTGGTAGACACCCATAAGAAGATGTTTCATGCTAAACATCTAAGTTCTAGCTCATTGGCTTTTTTAAAAGAAGATTTTTAAAGATTTTACTATACACATATAGTTAAAAACAATGTCACCCCTGGGGCAGGGCCAGTTTTGACCCCCGGGCGTTTATTTTAACAAACTTTGTAGATATTTACTTAAAGATGTTTCATGCATAATATCTAAACTCTAGCTATTTGGGTTTTTCCAAAGAAGATTTTTAAGTTTTTGCTATACACATATAAGGAAAATCAATGATCCCCCCCCCCCCCCGGGCGGGGCCAGTTTTGACCCCAGGGCTTTTATTTGAACATACTTGGTAGACACCCATTAGGAGATGTTTCATGCTAAATATCTTAGCTCTAGCTCTTTGAGTTCTTTAAAAGAAGATTTTTTAAGTTTTTACTATATGCATATAGGGAAAATCAATGACCCCCTGGGGCGGGGTCAATTTTGACCCCAGGGCTTTTATTTGAACAAACTTGGTAGACATTCACTAGAAGATGTTTCATGCCAAATATCTAAGCTCTAGCTCTTATGGTTCTTTAAAAGAAGATTTTTTAAGTTTTTACCATAATTTTATTATGCATATAGGGAAAATCAATGACCCCCGGGGCGGCGCCAATTTTGACCCCAGGGCTTTAATTTGAACAAACTTGGTAGACACTCACTAGAAGATGTTTCATGCTTTATATCTTAGCTCTAGCTCTTTGGGTTCTTTAAAAGAAATTTTTTTAAGTTTTTACTATATGCATATAGGGAAAATCTATGACCCCCTGGGGCGGGGTCAATTTTGACCCCAGGGCTTTTATTTGAACAAACTTGGTAGACATTCACTAGAAGATGTTTCATGCCAAATATCTAAGCTCTAGCTCTTATGGTTCTTTAAAAGAAGATTTTTTAAGTTTTTACTATATGCATATAGGGAAAATCAATGACCCCCGGGGCGGGGCCAATTTTGACCCCAGGGCTTTAATTTGAACAAACTTGGTAGACACTCACTAGAAGATGTTTCATGCTTAAAATCTTAGCTCTAGCTCTTTGGGTTCTTTAAAAGAAGATTTTTTAAGTTTTTACTATATGCATATAGTGAAAATCAATGACCCCCTGGGTCGGGGCCAATTTTGACCCCAGGTCTTTTATTTGAACAAACTTGGTAGACATTCACTAGAAGATGTTTCATGCCAAATATCTAAGCTCTAGCTCTTACGGTTCTTTAAAAGAAGATTTTTTAAGTTTTTACTATATGCATATAGGGAAAATCAATGACCCCAGGGGCGGGGCCAATTTTGACCCCAGGGCTTTTATTTGAACAAACTTGGTAGACACTCACTAGAAGATGTTTCATGCCAAATATCTAAGCTCTAGCTCTTATGCTTTTTTAAAAGAAGATATTTAAAGTTTTTTCTTTTGGTTGCCATGGCAACCAGAGTTCTGCATGGAATTAAATTCTTTGAACAATTTTTAAAGGTGACCACCAAAGGAACATTCCTGTGAAAGTTTGGATGAAATTGGCTCAGTGGTTTATGAGGAGATGTCATTTAAAGCAAAAGTTTACGGACGGACGGACGGACGCCGGACGAAAAGCGATCACAAAGCTCACCCTGTCACTTTTGTGACAGGTGAGCTAATAAAACATATAATAAAGGTTCAGAGTAACTTAGCTTTGTGAATGCAACTGTTGCACCACATGCTTTTAAAACAAGAAATATTCTAATTGGACTAAATAAAACATAACTTTTTTGAATAACAAGATCATTGTATAGTTTAAGAGACCTACATATAATTATGCATCATAATAGTCATACTTGTGTAGGCAACCAACAAAGAATTACTCCTATGAAGTTTTATCATGCAACTGGTATGTTGTTACAGTTAGGTATATTGTTTAACTCTTAGCTTGCTACACTCCCCCCCTACCCACCTACTCCAGGGAGTGACCCCCTCCAAGATAACTGTGGTTAACAACACAAAATAAACTTTATTATACAATATGCTTTATGAATGTACATACTAGTATTCTATCAAACAGAACAATAATAAGGAAATTAAAACATAATACAGGAAGTTACACATTGTAAATTTACTAATAATATGAATGTATCACTTATCATAAAAACAGATCATGACAAAACACATTTTCATTCTCCATTTTTAGTGCTTATTTCAAAATTATTCATTTCCTTTAATGGCAATATTCAATAAAATCAGTAAATTCTGGACTGTGAACTGCCACTTTAACCTATTTTTCCAACAATAACTACATTGTTCCGTACTTACTCATCTTTAAGACAGGACCTTAATTTTAAATTGCTTTGTTTTCTGTTTATGACGAGCTGAATAAATGAATTTCTTTAATGCATCATGTCAAAAAATTCCTTGCGTAGCTACTAGTCTTTTGTAAAAGAGTTATGGAACATTTGATAGAAGACACATAAATCCTTGTCCGACTGAATTTACTTAGTGGACTTGACCAACTTCCATTTTTAGACAGTTGATTATCAATTTTAGGGATATCTATATGGAAATTTGAAACTTAGTTTGCTAACAGCTTTGCAAGCCTGCAAAGGTTTTGCAGGTTTAGTTCTAGGTGTTTATCAGCTATAGACAATTGACCAGCCTGGCTGAGTGGTAAATGTATCAGACTAGGAAATCTCAAGATTGCTGGCTATGTGGGTTTAAACTCTGAAAGGGGCGAGGCATTCTTTCCTTGAGCAAGAAACTTTACACTCATTACTTGGTACTAGTTGTCAGATTCCAGGAACAGTGTGTCTCTATAAGCTAATATAGATTCCTACTCAATCAAACTATAAATAAATGCTGTACACTAGTAAACTAAATACTCTTTGAACTGTTTGTAAAAGTTATGACAGTAATGTAATAATCCCTCAAAATGCCTTAACCATATTTAACTATAAAAGATTCTTGCAGAATGAAATGTGTAGGCTGCCCTCCAATGTTTGAACAAACAATCTGAAGATATGATGACCTTAAATTCTCCCTAATGTATGGGCTTGGATATTAGATTTCTTGTTTGCAAATTAGGAAGTCTGGAATGATTTTAGGACACAAGCAAAATGATTTATCAGCACATATTAATTTGCTTCTCCTCTAGATGTCACATGAGGAATTTCTACAATTTTGCAACAACCAAAAAGTGGAAAAAGAGAGAGCAAAAAAACCCTTCCATTTCAAAATGTTAGGTTAACAAATATGTGCAAAAAGAGACCAAGATCGTTGGCTGACACTGTCATCAACAGACTTTCTGACCTGAGAAAATAACAAATGTTACAGATAACATTTTAAGGAATTCCAATTATTCAAGATATCTAAAACAAAATCTCTCTTATTTGCTGACTGTGTGAGAAAATGGCAAGCCTATGCACCTTTTTAAGATAAAATTGTCATTTTTGCTACATGATTTTTTTTTTCACACGTGACCTCAGAGGTCATGACCTCTGATGAACTCTTCAATAAGGAAGTTTGAGATAGTGCCTTATCTGGATGACATCATATTCTGTAACACTATCAGATGTGGTTTATGAATTTCAACTCCATTGATGAGCTCATGTATTAAATATAGCACTAACGAAAATACTAAGAAATTTAAATATTATTCATATAGAAGAAGAAAAAAACTTTCATGGAAAAGTATTAAGCCTTTAACATGTGTTAAATTAATGTATGCATACACCAAACAGCTGATTTTTTTATAATATATTTTCCTGTTAATCATATCAAATTTTATTACTAGTTTTGTTAACTTCCTGTGTGAATGTTAGTATGTCAGAAATAAAAGTCTCTATATTTTATGTCTTTAAAATATTGTATGTCTGTATCTATAAAATATTTATGTCTCTAAAATATTGTATCACACTAAAACATTATATGTCTCTAACATATTGTTTGTCTCTAAAGTATTGTATGTCTCTAACAAATTGTATGTCTCTAATGTATGTCTCTTATTTCATTGAATAAAATAATCTTAACCAACTAAATAAATCTCAAATAGCTTTGCTATATTTACAAAATCTAAGTTACATGACTAGTTTATTTAGATCTCAAATTAAATGAAGACATCTCACTTACTTATTGGTAAATTGCTATCATGACATTGCATAAATTCTCAAGAACAGAGCAAAAAATTCCCTGATATGACATGTAAATTTCATTTCCTCCTGCTATGTGCTTTCAGATAGCATGGTGTGATTACAAACAAGAGTTCATAGACAAACATTATGCTCAACATTTCTATGTCTAAATAGTAAAACAACTGACATGAGGAGATAGAACAAGAGGGCCATGATGGCCCTGAGGTCGCTCACCTGTATATAGCCCCCCCCCCCCCCCCCCAATTCTTACCCAAGGGCTTTTATTTGTTTATTTGAACAAACTTGGTAGATACCCA